TAATAGCAAAGAGACCTTCATATCACACATAGAATAGCATAGAGACATTCATATCACACATAAAATAGCATAGAGTCTTCATATCACACATACATGTAGAATAGCATAGAGACCTTCATATCACACATAGATTAGCATAAAGACCTTCATATCACACATAGAATAGCATAGAGACCTTCATATCACATAGAATTGCATAGAGACCTTCATATCAAACACAGAATAGCATACAGACCTTCATATCACACATAGAATAACATGGAGACCTTCATATCACACATAAAATAACATAGATACCTTGATGGCGACCCTTGTAACACACAACAAAGGACTTAGATTGTTGTAATACACAACAAAGGACTTAGATTGTTGTAATACACAACAAAGGACTAAGATTGCTGTAACTCACAACAAAGGACTTAGATTGTTGTAATACACAACAAAGGACTAAGATTGTTGTAACTCACAACAAAGGACTTAGATTGTTGTAACACACAACAAAGGACTTAGATTGTTGTAATACACAACAAAGGACTTAGATTGTTGTAACACACAACAAAGGACTTAGATTGTTGTAACACACAACAAATGACTTAGATTGTTGTAACTCACAACAAAGGACTAAGATTGTTGTAACACACAACAAAGGACTTAGATTGTTGTAATACACAAAAAAGGACTAAGATTGTTGTAACTCACAACAAAGGACTTAGATTGTTGTAACTCACAACAAAGGCCTAGATTGTTGTAACACACAACAAAGGACTAAGATTGTTGTAACACACAACAAAGAACTTAGATTGTTGTAACTCACAACAAAGGACTTAGATTGTTGTAACTCACAACAAAGGACTTATATTGTTGTAACACACAACAAAGGACTTAGATTGTTGTAACACACAACAAAGGACTAAGATTGTTGTAATACACAACAAAGGACTAAGATTGTTGTAATACACAACAAAGGACTTAGATGGTTGTAACTCACAACAAAGGACTAAGATTGTTGTAATACACAACAAAGGACTTAGATTGTTGTAATACACAACAAAGGACTAAGATTGTTGTAACACACAACAAAGGACTTAGATTGTTGTAACTCACAACAAAGAACTTAGATTGTTGTAACACACAACAAAGGACTTTGATGTTAAAATCGATACTGTTACTATAATTCGCTGATACATAAATATACATAGAGAAAATGTGAATGTAAAATATGTATATAACTGAGAATATATATTATGTGCAAACATATGACTGATATATGTTTACTATATATAACTGAGAATATATATTATGTGCAAACATATGACTGATATATGTTTACTATATATAACTGAGAATATATACTATGTACAAACATATGACTGCTATATGTTTACTATATATAACTGAGGGTACAAATTGTTGAAAACAAACTACGAACCTTCTGGAGGTATCTTAAGCGGTATTAGCATTGCCATGAGGATAGCCGGCGAGGTGGGCTACCTTAACGTAGTTGTCAACACTTTAAATGGCTGTTGTTGTTTCTTTAATTTCAGGTTACTTTCGGCCTGCAACCTATATTCAGCCCACACTGCATTTTGTCCTTTGTTAATTTTACTTTCGGCTCCGGCGGAAGTAGGTCGCTGACTTATAAATACTTTGTCTATATGTACAGTAAATCTGCCAATACTGCATACACACCTTACAATTCGACGTTATATTTTGAAATGTTCAAAATGTCCATCGGGTGTGTTAAAAACCATACAGTTTTAAGAGTAACTGTGAAATAATATTTTTGGCTATAAAAGGTTGCTTCAATATTTACACTATTATAATCATACTTTTTCTTGAACAATTAACTTCCGTTTCTTCCTGATGTTTTAGGAAAGGTTTCAACAGGAAGCATTTCCAAACTTAAAATGTCTGGGAATGAAAGGTAAGTCTAAATATTGACAGTTAACGTTAACTGTGAAATTATGTGATTTCCGGAAAGACAGGTGTTTAAACTTACAATGTTGTCATTGACGTCAGAATCAACCCACGGTACATCCGGGCAATCAGGTCATTGCCAATAAGATGAAATGAGCATACCATGATGACGCAGTACACCACAGTTTGTGTTCACAGTTCTGTGAAATTAACTGATGCCTGGCACGTTGTGGCAGAAGTGTGGATTTTTTTTTTCTTTGAATTAAAATTGTTCAAACAAAGACTTCATTTTTTATGTGAACAGGACCCGTAAAACAAGTCCTTGATTGTTCAGAGAGGAAAACTACTAGTAGTTTCATCTTACAGTCGTTCAGTTTCAGACTCTTTTTTGCGCAGATACTGTACCTTATGTAGCACTTCGGACAAATACTAATATCTTCATTCGAGCAAATCTATGCCACTTGTAGTCAGTTTATCCAAAAACCATATATATTGTGGATTTTTCACATTTTTTGTACCTTCACATTTACAAGATTTCTTGAAGACATGATGGCAACCTTCACCAATACATTTACTCTACATCATGAGATGAATATTAGCAAATGAGTAGGAAATATACCCTAAAAGCAACGTAAAATTAAAACTCTGGTGATAAAACGTATACAAAATTATATCAAAATGTATAAGAACAAATTCTAAAAAGTGACAAGGAAATCATATTTGATTTCAAATTTGATTGTTAACAAAAACTTTATCAATCACGCCAAGTGATGAAGCAAATCTGAATTTGGAATTGTTTGTGACCAAACATGCACTTAAAGGTTTATTGTAAGCTTGCAACGAATTTCATTACCAATTACTTGTAATCAGGTGCATTGCTTTCTGGTGGACGCCAGGGAGGTGTCTTAAGTCCTCACCTTTTTGTGTACACAGGGTTAATTTATTGTGCAAAATTAATTTCCACCACTTTTTTTGGACTGAATTTTTGCATACATACTTAAAATAACACCACTTCTTCATACTATGAAAATGTTTGGTATACAAGAATAATAAGAATGAAAAATCCTGTATTTTACATTAAACTGTTCACAAAATGTTCGATTATATTATTCAGCATCACATGAATGATGAAAAAAAATGTTTTTTCCTCCGAAAAATCCATTCAAGCAGATATTCCATTTTTCGACCCCCATGTTGTAATAAGGTTAATTAATCATCTAAATAATTAGTAGAGTGATTCAAAGTAATAACATCGGATGTATAAAGGATTGAAAATGTTAATACAGCAGTATAGCACTTCTGAAACGAAAGTTATGAGGGGGCAGGCTCCTGAGTAATTTAACATAGCTGGAAATAGTCCCAAATTAAAAAATATCTAGGAATGACAGGTAAGTCTGAATGTCGGCACCAACAGGCGACTTTGCAATGAACGTCAAACTTTACAACAATGTTGTCAATGACGTCAGAATCAACCAACGGTACATCCAGGCAAACCTTGAAGTTCTCTTTGGTAACTGGAACAAAGCAGTATATCCCACCAGTGTTTTCCAGCTCATCACCATTTCCGAAAAAAATGTTCCATATTTCTATCTGGTGTGAAGATAGTGTAAAGGTATAGAGGGTAATTATGAACTCACTAACAGATTGTATACAAGAGACCATTTATACTCACACTTTCGCAGAATAACAATAATAATTTTCGCCTCATTACAAAACTATGGAATAAACGTGATAACTTTGTCATTACGTCCGTCACCTTGCCTTTCCCAGTAAATAGTTGATTCGCTTTACCAAAACATGTATTAAGCAACAGGATTTTTTGTAAACTAGGTTCGACACATTGAGCAGTAAATCTAGGTAGCTTGGGAGACCGTACCTAAAACGGATCACCAAACCATCTCTTTATCCATTCAGTGGAAATTCGAAGGATGAAGGATAATTATGTATGGTTACATAAAAAGAAGACCTTCGATGGCTGTTTTTTACCAACGAAATGAACTCCCGGGGTAGCGTTTCCGTTTTTTGCCAAACATTGGATGACGGTTTGAATATTCCGCTCGAAGTGAACATTTTTTACCTGCATTTAAACATGAATACAATTATTTCTTTAAGCTGAATATATTCGTAATATCGGTAACAGAATGTTTAGTCCCACATGCATCATTTGTTGACAGCGTAAACTAATACCGAAATTTTGAGCTTGAAATTCGTCTTCTGATTTTATTTGAACTTATAATTTGACCCCTGCAGACTAAGACTCCCGTCGAAGTAACTGTGACTCGAGCTACAGAGGCTGCATGACAAAATAGTAAACGTAGATCACACCTTAAATAGTATACTCTTTGCATTTAATTCAACAGTGTTTTAAAAAATATAAACACCACTCTATGGTCTGTTCGCCTATAACCATCTCTAGAAATAGGAAATGAACGTTTCAAAACATTTAAATGAGTTAAAAACATAACTCTTTGGTCCGTACCCGAAAATCCTCTCTAGAAAGACAGGGAGCACCGTTTTAAATTAAGTCCATTATGGTCTACAGTCGTGAAAGGGTAAAATGCAGAAAACCGAGCAGAGGCATTATTTTACTACACTGTAAAGCCACATCAAGGAGTCAAATTGAAGGTAATGTCTATGTAACGCTGGTCCGGACAAGAACTTCACTAAAGCTTACGGGTTACTTATGTTTTATGTATTTTTATAGATACATGAAGTATGAATAAACAGCTTGTTCCGTATCATTTTCATATCCGTACAGTAAACGTCAAAAATGTCTTACAATTGTCCGTGTAGAAACTTTTGAACGACTGGAACATCTTGATGAAACTCTTTGGTAGATTGAAGCATCTATGACTGAATGTTGTCAATTACCATTCTCAGGTTGATGACCCGGAGGTCAAGGTCAAAGAATGATGTCAAATCACTTGTGGCTTATGTTAAGTTACCTAATTTCTTATTGGACAATGAAGAAATTACGGATGAATTGATTGACTGGAGATGAATACGTCTTGACTTGTGACTACCCCTAAAGACTCGGTTACTGTGTGAAACATATAACTCAACAAAAAGAACATAACAACAAAAACGTTATAAAATAAAATTTATTTTATATACGACAGGTTACCAGCAGCCATTCAACCAGCTGATGGCAATGTAAGTTATTTTAAGAAATACGACTTGACGGTGTTTTGTTTGTTCACGACGTCTACATGTAAGTGACCAAATTACTGGTTGCGTTAGTTTAACATTTAACGTCGGTATCAATTCAGCAACACAAATATCAATTCCAGATTGTAACTCACAAAAACGACAGTCGCTAACATTGAGGGTTTTAACGAAGGACAGATAATAGTTCATCATTTTTTCTATCCAGTAACGTCAAAACATTACCGATATTTTTCACCTATTACAGAGTACTGATACGTGAAAAAAAGTTCATTATTTCCCTTGTTTTATACTGAAAAACAAAGCAAGAAAAGGTTCAAGAAATACATACTGTGAAATCACTAATTTACGTGGGTTTTTTAATTGCGTTGATTTCGTGGGTAATCTGAATCCGCGAATTTTTAGGTCCACAAAGTCATTTCAAGTTTAATGTAAAGCAGTTCTTCTTTTGAGTGGGTACTCGTAATCCACAAATTCATGTACCTATGAAAGGGTGTTTTGTCGGGAAGCTACGGAACATAGGACCCCGCGAAAATACTTGATTTCACAGTAGTTCAGTAATGTATCTGAGAATAAGACTTTAATTCTCTTTTCTAGTACCACCAAACGTCACTAACAATTATTCAAGAAATACAAAGAATTACTGAGAATGTTAATTATTTCTCTTGTCTAGTACCGACAAATATCACCAATAAACATTAGCAACAAAAGTTCACAAATTTTACAGATTACTGAGAATATTCAATTATTTCTCATTGTCTTTTGTCTACAAACATTACCAACAAAAGTTCACCAATTTTACAAATTACTGAGAATATTAAATTATTTCCCATCGTCTTTTGTCGACAAACATTACCAACAAAAGTTCACCAAATACAATGTACTGAGAGTAACCATCAAAAATTCCCCAATGACAAATTACTGAGAACATTACCAACAAAAGTTCACAAATTTTACAAATTACTGAGAATATTCAATTATTTCCTGTTGTCTTTTCACGACAAATATTACCAACAAAAGTTCACCAACATGTATTTAACAGTACTGACCTCTACGGGACAAGTCCAAGGCTATCAGATAGATTTCCCTATAAAACTATGTTATCCCAGGGACCTGGTCTCCAGAAAATATGTGTGGAGTGAGCTGCAAATTATAATGGGCTTATACCAAAAGGTGTACTCGAACTGCCGGGAGATCTTCTTCAATTTCAAGAGAGACTCAAAGGGACTCATGTTTAATTTGTTTAATAAACAAGGGGATAACTTAAAATCGATTTTTTTGGAAATGCCTGAACGATGTTAAAAGTTATACACAAATTCTTATATTAACCAAAAAGATATTTCTTTCAGTCGGCTTTCATCTGACAAGATTAAAAGGTTGCCCCATAACAAACTGATGCACGGGGTAGTAGTGATGGTTATGGGGAAGTGATGGTCAGGTACATGTATACCTGTCCACAGTGCAATATCTATTTATAATGTCGTGAGCAGGAAAGTTATACAGAATCAATGTCTAGAATAAGAGAAATAAAGGAAACATAATAATAACAACGATTAAATGCAGCTGCTTTAAAAGAAATGAACATTGTCGGATTCCATGTGTAACAAATAAAAACAATAATTCAATTAAAACAAGTCAACAGTTTACAGCAAATCAGACCACCAACAGACTGTGAGGAAACCCATATATTTGTTAACTTATTCACCCCTGAAGACAAAATTCAACTCTTCCCATTCAAAGGTTGGAATAGTCCATCATGACATTTCAGGGGTGTATGAGTTAAGGTAACCTAGAGATTCAATGATATACATACATGTAATACGAAATTAATGTTAGCATTAATTTGGTCAAATGAGATTGTGAGTTCTGAGCATCAAAATTCACATTTATATCTGGAGAGTTTAAAAGTTTCGTGAGAGTTTGAATATTTCAATAATTCTAGGCAAGTAAGAATTTGAATTATTTTTCAAACATCTGTTTCAGAAAAGAATTCCTGTCTTTTTCTAGTAGTACATTGTAAATAGAAAGCCGGTGAAAAGCACAGGGGAGATAATTGAACCATTGACCTGACGTGGACAGGGATTTAGAGGAAATATTGATGGTTAACCAAAATCATATTAGTCAAGTGATCAAACATAAATACCAATCTCATTAGTTCTATCTGCAGCAGAAATAAATTAATTACACTAAGAATGAGGTCACATCCTGAATTACCTATACAGACGTTAGCCCATAGTATTAATCAAATCACAAGAAAATACTCACCTGTAGGGCATACAGGATATTATTAATTACAATATCTGAAGTCATTTTGTCGCCCTTCACAAATCATTTCGAATAAAAAGTGTCAGATGCTCAATATATGTTAGCCAGTCATTTTATTAGAAAATTTAAAAAACAAAATGGTATAAATGTTATTTGATGAAATGTTAGTTTTTCCTGACATGAGAAATATGTGTGTGGTACATAAAAAACTGAGAGCATGCTATATAACAACATTCAATTAACATTTAACATCTTGATGTTATATTCATATGTTATTTCTAGTAAACCAGTAAACGAACTATGCATGCAGGTTTTCTTGAATCCATGCCTTGAAATACTTGTGCAATATAAACGATATGAAATAGATAAATCAAAATATACATCCTGGTTTGATTATTAAGACACTATCAAAACTGTACCCTGGGTTATCTACTTAACTCATTCACCCTTGAAGACACATATGAACTCTTCCAATTCAAAGGTTGGAATAGTTCATTATGAAATATCAGGGGTGAATGAGTTAATGGTGTAAATAAATTTACCTGCTCAAAGTCTTTAATAAAAAATACTTAAATGTTCATTCAATTTCCTAATTGAAATATCAGAACTAGCAGTGAAAAAATCCTGAAATCAATTTTACTTTTCATTTTTTTCTGATTGTAAATATAAAAAAATGCCAACTTTCCAAAATTGAATATATGGTCAACCCTTCCAGATGCTGTCTGTTCAAGCCAATACTTTTAAGAAAATACCCGATGCCTATTTTAATAATATTTTTGTCACTTTGATCGAATTAAACGTTAACACTTTAAACCAATTAAGATATCACTATGGTCAAGCAAACACTGGAAACCTATACAAGTATTCCCCCATCATCTAAATACTGGACACCTGTATAAGCCATGTTTATCGTATGTTCTGATCGTTAAACGTGCAGTAAACAAAGACTTGTCGAAACCCCTCTAGCATCCAGCTATCCACTAATAAAAATAAAATAAAAATGGAATTTTATCTAGGATATCCTATGACAAATTCACATGTATTTTTGTCAAAATTCCCCCAAAACAATATTTGCTTATCTTGTTAATGTTTCTTAAATAAAGAGAAAAAATACATGATTTTTGTCATTTTTTTTTACGTTATTGCTGGTCATGATAAATAAGAGATTTAGCAAGTAAGATAGACATCAAAACTGTAAACCAAATGTTAGAATTATTCAATAACTGATATCGGATTTTTAAAATATGACTTTGTGACTTCAGTATTACAGATCCAGGTATTTTTATATGACCTTGACCCCTATGTGTACGAAATATAAAACGGTCAATAAATAGATTCACAGGCAACTATGTTTAGTACATGGCATGACAACCTGGTCAACATGTTGCTGACCAACGGTAATCTTAGGACTGACACTGATCAACACATTTCTGACCAATGGTCATCTTAGGACTGACCCGTGTATCTACAGTCACCATAGGTCAATCCACGACTGATGAACATGACCATCATATATAAATAGATATATTATCAGAAACTTAATTTATGTACATATGTTACACAAAAGACTTACATAAAGCAATATCTTCGTTTCAATTAAGCGTCCCGTCCCTTTTATCGCAATTTCACAAATTGTTCAACACACGTCCTACTCACAATAACAGTTTTTACTGGCTTTGCTTCATTTGACGACCGACCACAACAATATGAATATCATATTTTGTGGTTGTGAAATATTTGTCCTCCTTTATTCTTACAAATTAACCAACGACATCTTAAATTGTATTGTCCCATTTTACCACCTGTCATCAAGCCATAATTAACCTTACAACGGTGAAAAAACATACAAGCACTATTGTGATCGTAAATGTACAATTATGTAGGATTTTATCATTCACCCCTACATTTCTAAACTGGACTTGCCCAGTCTTTGATTTGGTAAGGTACAAATGTGACTTTAGGGGTGAACAGGTTAAGCTATCATGTTTTTGTCTGCCTGGATGTCAAGCCCATACTTATCACCAAATATAAGATTGGCAACCTGTTACTATTCACAACACAAGTGATTAAACCATCGCATGATGAAATTCATATCCATACGTAACCAACTGTTCGTTCTACATCCTCGTACACCGAAATCTTCCTAGAGATGCGTAGGTAGATGAAAAGTACTCGTCCACATGACACAGTCACATGCAATTGTTACATGCAATATTCCCGTATTTATAAAACATTGTTGTGATTAAATTAACTGCCGCCTACACTGTCCTGGCACCTGTTCAATCACATGTTCAGGGGCACGGCAGAGTATTGAGTGGGCACGTCCATATAGTTTTATATGTCTTCCACACATTCACTAAATGTCAAAGTGTCTACACTTTTATTAAACTCCAACACTTCTCTAACTTTTATATTTAACTGTCAAATGTCTGAAGTTACGGTACACTCATACCAGCACACAGTCACAATAAGCAAGGCAGAGAAGTGAAGTCTGTAATTTTCTTCTGAGGTCCCTATAGTACAACTTTCTTCTTATTGTACATGTGAAGTTCATTTTCTCTTGTGAGTTAACTAAATATTGTAGGTCCAATAACTCACAAAAAGTTTGGTGCCGTGACCAAGAGTCCTTCCAATAACTCACAAAACTTTGGCGCCAGAACCAGGTGTCATTACAATAGCTCGCGTAAGTTTGGTGCCGTGACCAGGTGTCATTCCAATAATTCACAAAAGTTTGGTGTCTTGACCAGGCGTCATTCAAATCACTCACAAAAGTTTGGTGCCGTGACCAGGATCTTGCAATGGCCACTTTGATCCTTCTACCTCTGTTATCTAACATTATCTTAACACAGCTATCTTCAAAATGTCCATAAACGACAGCCAGATTATAACGAAATGTCAACCCTCTTCAGAATTCAAGTCTGACCTTCATCTGTGGAAGATTGTTATTAATCTAGCTCTTTATAGTTAGAAATCTCAGCTGTTTTGTGTTACATTTAATTTGAGAATGAACACTTGTGACAACTGCATTTGCGAATGATTTGTATTTTGTACATGTGACTGGTTCCATTTTGACAGTACAATCGGATCTTCCTATTTTTAATTTTGGTTGGTTTACAGCATCGCTTTCCACATGATCCTTCACATCGACGGAACTTTATTCGGGACCGTGATTTACAGTTTGTCTTCGGATGTGTGTAATAACTTCGGAAAACTTTAGGCTTACAGGAAGGCGCTAGAATTAAAAAAAAGCATGTATCAGAGAAAAATAGAACTCATGCAGCCTTATCTGTTTTACAGTTACAACTGAAGAGAAAGCATGTAGTCTATATATAGACAAGGTAGTCGTTACACTACATTTTAATTTGGAGTCTTATTCTCTCTTTACCGTTTCACCCCTATGCAACTTTAGTAAACTCTCCCATGCATCGATCTGGATGATTCCATTATGGTCTACAGTGGTAAAAGGGCTAACATTGTCAGATAATTTGATTCTGTCCTGCAAATCATTATCCTTACAGAATTTGAACACATCAATAAGTCGACATTTCCATCAAGTCTGGCAGGTTTTACTGGCCTCCATGTAAAAAAAAAAAAAAATGATGAGTACTGTCAACAGGAGTTTTTTTTATTTGAATTTTAAGACATATCTAGTTATCAGAATGATTCGCATTGCAAAGTGAAAGTTGAAACATATTTTGACATATAACCCAAGTTTTTATTTTTTTCGCAACGTCATCTCCCGGCGTCAACTTACCAACATCACAGAAGCGGCCTGAGTATCCTTGGTTACATTTGCATCTGTAGCCCTGACGCTTTTTACGGGGTTTACAGCGACCCTTCTGACACTGGTTGTTGAGACATGGGTCAACCTTACATCCCGGCATTATCTTACGATTTAACTTCGACGACATGAAATCCATCAATTTGTTGTTGATGTATACGGACTGGTAACAACCTGTTAGAGAAACCGAACCATGAGGGTTATTCCATATTTAATTGTATGGGGGTAACAACCTATTAGAGAAACCAAACCATGAGGGTTATTCCATATTTAATTGTATGGGGGTAACAACTTATTAGAGAAAACCGAACCATGAGGGTTATTCCATATTTAACAGTATGGGGGGTAACAACTTATTAGAGAAAACTGAACCATGAGGGTTATTCCATATTTAATTGTATGGGGGTAACAACCTATTAGAGAAACCAAACCATGAGGGTTATTCCATATTTAATTGAATGGGGGTAACAACTTATTAGAGAAAACCGAACCATGCGGGTTATTCCATATTTAACAGTATGGGGGGAAACAACTTATTAGAGAAAACTGAACCATGATGGTTATTCCATATTTAATTGTATGGGGGTAACAACCTATTAGAGAAAACCGAACCATGAGGGTTATTCCATTTTGAATCGTATGGGGGTAACAACCTACTAGAGAAACCAAACTGTGAGGGTTATTCCATATTTAACAGTATGGGGGGTAACAACCAAGTAGAGAAACCAAACTGTGTGGGTTATTTCATTTTTAATCGTATGGGGGAGGTGGGAGGAACAAGTGTAAATACATTATGTGTCAGTGGGTTGAGTCCAGACTTGCCTATCAATCAGTTTTTATATTTTATTGTAAGCAGGGCATCTGAAATGTGCCTCCTATTACTGCCATACACATACCAAGGAAACCACCACCAAATCAGAATATCTCAAATGATTCAATCCACCACTTTCAAAGATGGAAAACTTATTTGAAACACAAGAGAAAACTATGTTGATGCCATATTATCAGATTTTTTTAAAACAAGAGAATTATTTTAGAATTACATGTATAACAGATTGTGCTGTTTCTTCTTGTTGTTTTGAAAATATTTAAATTAAAGCTGACAATAGGAAAATCTCTCTCTTTTAACATGTTACAGAATTTATTTTTTTAAAACATATTGCTGAAAGAAATCTGAATAAGCAACATCAGTTGACAATTAAATAAAATCATTATAACCTACATTTGATCTTTTCCAATTCAAAGGTTGGAATAGTTCATTATGAAATTACAGGGGTGAATGAATTAATATTAGACTTACCTCTAAAACTAGATTCACTTCGAATGTGAAATTTACTCCGTGCTCGAGCGCTGACATCTGGTGGCAGACCCCCAAAGTAAACATCGTCGTTTATGTTGAGGAAGTCACGGTCGCCCTGGTTGACGACAGATCGGGACACTCCACCGTCCACTCTCATCGTAAAATTACGTCGGTTCAGCATCAACTCGATGTAGTGGATACGATCGTCGTTTACCTCAACGTAACTAAATATGTAACTGAACATGGTAGAAGTGGGAGTGTTCCCCACATAAAAACTGATACCCACTCGGCCACGGAACAGCTCCACAGCCAAGTGTTGTTCCTGACCAGTGTAGAAGATAAGGCCCGAGTCCGACTCGGTTTTCATGACGATTGTGATATTAACCCATGACTCAAAGTCTAACTTGGGCCACTGGATGTAGGAGTCGGTGTCTAGGAAGGAAACGCTTGTCATCTTCTCGCACATCTTCCCGGAGAATCCTGAAATTATACAAATGTCCTTTAGATTTCTAAACTTGGGCAATTATATTAATTTTTACTTCAAAATGAATGACCCTTCAGCCACATAAGATTAATGGAAGGGTAAGAAAAAGCCTTGCAGCTAAAAATGTTTGCGGAAAAAATGTCATATTCGATAAAAATATTTTGGCTCCCTTTGAGGCCAGGAAACACAGCTTCAATGTAGACTGTATAACATCCCCTCAAGTTCCTTACCAGGTGCACACTGACACATGTAGTCTTGCGATCCTTTGGGTTTGTAGCAGACACCATTGTTCTGACACTCGTGGTTACGACAGGCTCCGGGCGCCGAGTAGTCATTGCTGTAGTACATGTCGATGGGTGGGATCTCACAGTACTTGCCTGTGTAACCACGGAGACAGGTACACGTGTACTTGCCCAGCAGGTCGACACACCGCGCTCCATTTTGACAGATGTGTGACTGACAGTCGTCGATGTCCTCAGAACAATTCTTTCCTGTGTAGCCCGCCGTACAATCACACCTGAATCAACATTAAGAAACGGTGGAACCATTGATACTTTAACTTAGATAGTATAGCACATATTCGGTTCTACAATAACACTCAGTACTTATGTAACAGGAGATAGAGAAATGCAACGGTCAGACTGGGATTCAAACCTGGGACCCTTCAAACTCTTGACAGACGCTCTACCAATTGAGCTACCTGGTCACTGGTGATCGACCCAGTCCAATTACATTTACAAGAAAAACTTAATCATATTTGTAGTGTGTCTAACATGACATATTAAGATTACAAGCTACAACAGATTCCAACAGACCATGTAGCAGCATTACTGACAAGATCTCCCCATAAACTGGCATTCATCTTCTATATAAATATTACATGCTTATTGGCACACAAAATGTTGCGGGAATGCCAAGCTTTGTTGACAATTTTGTTACTAACCTGTAATCGGAGACTAACGGCACACACACGGCCCCATTCTGACAATAATTCTCTTCACCCGTACAATACTGGACCTCATTTTCGCATTGCTTTCCTACAAAGTAAAATGTTATGATAAATCTTGTTTAATAAAGCAAATTACTTTTGACCATTTCACAATTTTAAACCAAGTGTCCTGTCATTGTGCTAAAATTGGTATGGGCTTGAGAAAGCGTCCACAAAAATCAATTTCCTATCTTTTGTAAAAAAGGATATCTTTTAAAATAAATTTTCTAATTTTCATCACAAAAAATGTAAACCTGTTTACATAACCACCTATGGTATATCTTCTCTGACAATACCTAATCTGAAGACACAAGCATCGTAATGGACAAATCTTTAAGAATAAATATACCTTTGTAGCCCATCGCACACTGGCAGGAGAATCCCTCGACAAGGTCGATACAGGTGGCACCATTCTGACAGGAAGTGGCCTCGCAGTCGTTAACATTCGTGGAGCAGCGCTCGTCTTCGAACCCCGGCCGACAGCGACAGCTGAAAGAAGAGGTGCTACAATAAAATTGGGACTCGGTTAATGATTGGTTAGGTAAGCACATGTCATACAAAGCCATCCTCGATATCCAGGGGTTACGCTCACTTTGGCTCTCTGCACTCCTGGAATATGTCATAGCAAAATTGAAGGCTCAGTGTGAACCACCTTGTTGATGAGACAAGAAGACTAGTTAGGAATCTCGTGGTCACGTAACGGTAAAAATTGACAGGCTTTGAAGTCGAGTGTCGCTCCTTTGTAATCTTCAAAGGACAGGTACCAGCGTAGTGATTGGTCAGTTATTTTTAACCGAGAACAATCAAACTGCTACCTTCGTGCCTTCAATTTTGCTATGACATATTCCAGGGGTGCAGAGAGCTTAAGTGAGCGTAACTCCTGGAGTTTTAAGGATGTACAAAGCACGCCTATACTGATCTTTACAAGATGGAAAGTCTGCGAGTAGGACAGTCTCGTCTCAAGGAAGCAAAGAAAAGAAATAAATAAAAACAAACAAAACTAAAAACAAACCTCAACAAGTGAAAATGGACAAGTCTAAATTGCTGTGTTTATAAGTTTAGATTAGAACATAGATTAACTTCACCATGAAAAACAAATTTGAAATGAAAATAACGGAAAATAGATATTTTTGAAAGTAAATAAACTGAAAATGACATCTCGAATAAATATGATTTAGACCAATATTTTATTCTTTCATAATCAGATTTGACATTACACAAGTTACAAGTACATATAGTAGGCCCTAACAGGCTTGATTACCCAATTCAGACAAAGTTTCTGTGATATACAGGGTTCATTTAGGAAAAGTTAAATTATTTTGGTAAATGTTTGTTTAAGTCGTGAAGAGACACAACTTGTACTTACTTGAATCTTCCGTGGTTGAGGACCTCACAGAAACCGTCATTCATGCATGGATTTCCAAAACAGGCGTTGATTTCATTCTCGCATCGTTGCCCATGGTAACCAGGTGTACAGTCGCAGGTAAAGTTTTTGAAGTCCCTGACTCTACACATTCCATTATGGAGACAAGGATTCTGGTGACAGGCGTTACATTTAGCCGCCACAGCCAAACTGTCTGGGTCTGTTGGGGAGAAACACAAAAAACATAATCCAATAAAAAAAATATCTGAGAAAAAAACTCTGCTGAAAAACAATTCTCGGTTTGTTTTCATAGAAATCGAGTTCAGTTTTCTTCAAATTTAGATATTGAGGGTTTTCCATATATACAAGCAGTGATGTAATTTTGGCAGAGCTGTCGTTATGGGTTTTATCACATAATATGATTCATACATTGCGGACTGAGTGCGGGGCAAATAGTAAATAGTTCTTGGATCGGATAACAAAACATTTTCTACAAAAAAAATGGTTTTAGATATAAAAGGTAAATGGGAGCCTGAAATGTTATACATCTCACAATGATGAAGAGCCAAAAAGCTTCAATTATTCCCCCCCCCCCCCAGCCTTAAACATAAAAGACGCATATTTAATGCTGCATCTGTATATAAGGCATTGCATCTCTCATAAGAAATATTTCATCTCTAACTTCCGCAAGGATAACAATCATTTCATGTATTTTCACAGCATTCCACAATATTTGAGATGAAGTAACATACACATACCAAAATAAATCAAAACTAACTTGAGTTACTCCCCTTTGAATGGTAAGCAGTGTTGTTAAACTTGGACCCCTTTCAGGTATCCAGTTCAATTGGTTCGTCAGTTTTTAAATGTAACATTTTCGATATTAATCCTGGCGGACCTGCAAATGTTTATGCAGGCCTTGTAAGGCTTTGTCACCGCTCGCCTGAAAGCAGCATCAGATTACTAGGTCTGACCTTATTTCATAAACAAATAACCCTGATCCAACCGGTCCAACCGTTTGGATAAATGAAAGCAGTCTACATGTATTGTCGAAACTTTTGACTGGTAACCACATACATGAACACTCTGCCATTAATCCATTTTGAAGATATATTTTGTTTGTTTTTTATTTTTCAGCAGAATTAAGTGAATTACCTGCGGTCTGACTGCACTGAAAGGCCGCAGGAGGGGTGGTAAGTATGAGCTTGTTGACCATCGACGCAGGTCCAGCACAGCCAGCTATCCCAGGCTCCATGTAATCATTCTTAATATAGTCCACCAACCACTTCAGGTTACAGTCGCAGTACAGCGGGTTCTCACCGAGGGCCCTGAAATAGTACATGTTGGGATTTAATACAAGGGTTTCTCACCGAGGGCTCTGAAACAGTACGTGTTGGGATTTAATACAAGGGATTCTCACCGAGGGTCCTGAAACAGTACATGTTGGGATTTAATACAAGGGATTCTCACAAAAGGGCCCTGAAACAGTACATGTTTATTTAATAAACGGGATTCTCACAAAGGGCCCTGCAACAGTACATGTTGGGAGTTAATACACACCAAGGGCCCTGAAACAGTACATGTTAGTAGGTAATACACACTGAAGGCCCTTAACTATTACATGTTGCGACTTCATGCAACCGTTCTCACCAAGAGCCCTGAAACAGTACATGTTGTCAGTAAATATAACAGATTCTGTTCAAGGCCCTAAAACAATCTAGTTAGGTGCGAGCTCAATAATAGCATAACATTGTATAGACTAAGTCTGTACAGAGGTTCATGTACACTGTTTTTTTTATCTCCAATAGAGGGTTAATGTATGACCTTTCACCCTTTAACCTTGACCCATGACCACTAAAAGCTAGGGAGGACCTGATCTTACCACACTATGGTGTAAATATTGTTGAAAGGCTTCGTGAGATATCTTTGCACAATCTTTATAATATACATAAACGCACTGATAAAGCGATAATTTTATAACAACAATCCCTTCCCTGCCAACACACCAATTAAGTGAAAGCTTACTAAAAGGAGTAAGGGGCAGTTGATTGAAATCCAAGCTGGCCAAACAAGTCGTGCGTTCTCACCTACTCATTAACACAGGAAAAGGATTGCCTACTGCATGGTCTCTCCACAATTAATAAGAACTTAAGGATGTTTGCATCACAAAAAAAAAAAAAATGTACTTAATTATGAATTTACAACAGTTTGAGGTCCCGTGTTAATTATTTAGATGACTACGCACTCATCACCTACCTTTTGACCTTTGAAGTTAAGTTTAGTAAGAACTTAAGGATGTTTGCATCACATAAACACACCTGTTCTTATTAATGAATTTGCCTCTTTTGCATTCTGAAGATATTACAACAGTTTGAGGGCCCGTGTTAATTATTAAAACATCGGCGACCTTTTGAACTTTGAGGTACAACTGGTTACATTTGTATGGAAACATTAAAATGTTTCTATACTGCATATTATTTTCAGGTTTCCAACCATGAGTATTCTCCAAGCAGCTCCTAAGCATTTTATTAATTGACCATTTTTTGACCAACCCCCCCCCCTTTTTTTATCATACATTATAAGGGATGGATTTAGTATTTCTTTGCATGAAAAGACACTCCTTTGCAAAATATTAAATAAACTAGAAAATGTCTGGAATACATGAATGTCCCTGTCACCATGTGAAATTAGTTTCAGTGTTTGATGTTTGATGGGCCGGACATGGGCAACATTATAGGCCGGCCCACATTGTATGGCGGGGGTAAAAAAATAAAATTTCTGACATATAGAGCTGACTAGCGGTGCCTAGCTTGAGAGAAATCCTAAAAAGAAACATGCCATTTAGCCAACAGTTATCTCCAAGATCATGCATCGTGGGAATTTCTTTGAACAGCACTCTGTTGCATACCATCAGCAATGTTAATTAACTTCTTCACCCCTGAATTTTCATTATGAACTAATCCAACCTTTGAATTGGAGGAGTTCAAATGTTTCTTCAGGGGTGAATGAGTTAAAGAAACATTTCCTTTTTTATGAAAAGTGACCTCAGGTACATAAATTTCCTCTAAATCGTCAACATAAGTTACATACAAAATTCAAATTTTAATCGAAAATAGAATACTTATGAGTAGCGGTGTACTTACAAGTGTGTAAGAGAGTCAAGGTCGTTGAAAGAGCTGTAAGGAATGGTGGACAGCTGGTTTCCATGGAGAGACCTAGATGTAAGAAATATTTCTGTTTACCAAATAGGAATATCTAAACAACAATTACGAGAATTTGTGAGTTTTGATTAATAACCTTTCATATCTCATCATTGATCAAGAAATGAAGTTAAAAAATCAAAAAAAAACAATCTGCAGATACTGAACTCATGAACAAGCTATGAAAACAATTTCAAAAACATGTCTCCTGTAAGAAGATAGTATACATATATATATATATATAAACTGATAAGAAATTATACATGATCGATGTATCTGTGACGAAAAAAAAAATGAAAATATATCTTCTATTAAAAATATTCTGAAAATGTGAAAGTTATTTTCATATAAAGAACAAAATTAAAATCTCTTTTGGCCGTAAAAGTTATTCCTCTTTGTAAATAAGAAAACTGAAGTGATGATTTTAACGATACATACAATATTCGGAGTCGCCTGAGCCCGGAGAAACTGGAAGCTGCCATGCACTCTAGCTTGTTGAAGCTCAAGATTCTGAAAGTATAAATAATCAGACGTTACTTTATCATCCCTAATCGTTTCCTGTATAAATATATCTATATATGTATAAATATTAGTTATAGTCTATTATATATATAAATATGTATCATATCCGCCTGAAGAAGCCCTGGAAGGCAGAAAGGCCTAGCGGACGATCTGGAAATTTTTGTTTTTATCATATATATAAACATTAGTTATAGTCTATTATATATAAATATATATTATATCTATATATATATAAATATTAGTCATAGTCTATTATATATAAATATATATTATATCTATATATATATAAATATTAGTTATAGTCTATTATATTTCTATTTTATGTTATGTAATTAGTGTTCTCTGTTTTTCTGTGTCTCAATAAAGGAGCGGAATGCTCTAAAAATTTGACAAACTCAAATGATCTACATACACTGTTGGAATGACTTCCTTGACCCATTGATCACCTTTGATAAATTTGTATCCTACAAACATACATTTGTAAGGATACAATGTTATACCCCCCCACCCAGTTATGTCACGATCAGTAGACAGTGGCTATAGCTCCATACTGAAGGTCATTGGAGTGTATTGATAAACGGAAACAGGCAGTACATCCCTAGTTGAATAACCAATGGAGGGAGACAGCATCACAATTTCCGCAAATTCTAATGTATAATATTGAATTGATGAATATTGTATGTTTATTATTGACAGAACAGTGTGTTCTCTCAATATTAAAGTATTTCAAAGCAATCCAGGCATTAATTCAGTTTTTTTTTATCAATGAGTCACATGTGTCCATTTTTCTGTACTTCAGGAAACCGCCTACCTATTTCACTACTGTGAAGTTTTTCAAGAACAATAAATCTTACCTGCAATTACTATGTATCTGGTTTTATTATAAAATGTCAATTTTTATATCGTGTATAGAGAATTAATTTTACACAATTTCAGCATTTATTAAATTGATATACATTAATGCAATACTAATATATGTCAGTATCATTTTTATTTACATTATTTTGTAAAAATATTGTGTCTTTCATTTTTTTTTTCAAAATTCACTCCTTTTTACATAAATTTCCATTTAAAATCCTTAAAATTCTGACAACCTTTATTTTTTTTGTGGCAGAAAATTTTCTTTACTTTAAAGCAATATAACTACAAAGAAGAAATTCTACTGAGAAATGGTGACACAATCCTATTACCTTAACAGTTTTCAAGTCAAGGGATCAAATCCCTATCGCAGAAAAAAATTGTGTGAAAAAAGAAATTACAAACAAAACATTTGTTGTTTGTTTAATAACTCTTTCCTAAAGTTAATGGGCAAGCAACGAGCTCAGAGTCAGGAAAATGTTAAAACAAATTATAACTTGTCTTTGCTGGAGTTACTACAAACAGAACTGACATAATTGATTGCACTGTATAAAGGGAAACAACTCTTACAAACTTACAAGGTAGATAACTGTGTCAGGTTGGAGAAAATGCTCTCTGGGAGTGTCACAATCTTATTGTTGCTCAAATCCCTGCAAGAAAGAAACACATTTCAGAATCACTGATGTCACAAAATATTTTCTTCCGGTATATCTTTGATAAAAATGTTAACTCCTTTTTTTAAATTATTTTTAACTGGTAAATGCCAAATGAAATTAATGAAAATAATCTTTAAACAATTCCTTTCATGAAATAATTTTAACCAGTAAATGCCAAATAAAATCCATTTTTTTTTTATATTTTACTGTCCTATTAGAATAATTTGGACTTAAAAATGCCAAATAGTAATTAATAAAAACAATTTATGTAAAAATATTTTGTCAAGGACCTTTGTTAAATATTCAAATTTTATATCTTTTAAATAAAAACATCTAACTCCATATAGAAATCAGAAAAAAAAATGAACATTTCAAATTGCACATAAATGTTATATCTGATCCACTTACAGACGCTGGAGCTGACTGAGTTGACTGATGTCCATGTTCAGACTTGTGATGTTGTTCACATCCAGGTATCTGTAATCAGAAGATAAACAGAGTTATGTCCCTTTGTAAAGATCTACTCTATTATTCAGTAACTTCAGACCTTGACCAGATCCTCTTGGCTGTCTATCCCGAGACTTTCGTCTTACAGCCTGGCTAGGCCACCTTGAGTAACTGGTTGTGTATTTTTTAATTTAGCATAGCGATCCATACAAGAGTCTTTAACTACCAAACGTTTAAATGTGTCTTCAGGGGTAAATGAGTTAAACTCTCACTGGGGGTATAGCAATACTATTTGAATATTGTTACACTGCATGTTTAATTCAGTGATAGGGTGGAGGACTTACAGCTCGGTAGTGTCCAGGGGTATGTGAGGCGGAATCTCTGTCAACATCTGTCTGCTACATCTCACAACAGTTCCTGTACAGGTACACAGAGGGGGGCAGTAGGCTCGCGGGTCACAGCTACTGTCCACGGGAGCTAGGGGAGACAACTCAAAATCAGTACACCATTATCTGTAACCTCCAACCCCTCTTTTTTAAACCAATTATTTTTAACTGAACTAAGTTGTACAGAATTCTTCCAAAAACAAAGAATTGATAACAAATTGATAACAAATACAAGTATATGTTTACACAATGATGATCTGTTATCTGTGTACTAGAATGTGAGTCTATGAGCATTAAAGCTAGGCAAAGTTTTGTTTTCAAAATATTTGTGAAACTTACCAACATCTTCATCAGAACAGCATGGGGACACACCAATAGTACAACCAAGCTCATTGTTAGCTGAAAAACAAAACAATTTGTCTTACAATTTGAAATTTGAAGATATATATATACCTACTTCCGAATATATTAATTGATTATACCGTCCTATCAAAAATACACTTCATATTTAGGTTTGATCATAAAACCTTGTGTTCACATTCAAATTACGAAGTGATCAAAAGAGATCTCCTTCACACATAAATCTACAGTAATCACACGAGCTTAACTTCACAAACAAAGTCTGCAGTGATCACACAAGCTTACCTTCACAAACAAAGTCTGCAATGATCACACGACCTTACCTTCACAAACAAAGTCTGCAGTGATCACACGAGCTTACCTTCACAAACAAAGTCTGCAGTAATCACATGAGCTTACCTTCACAAACAAAGCCTGCAGTGATCACACGAGCTTACCTTCAAACAAAGTCTGCAGTAATCACACAAGCTTACCTTCACAAACAAAGTCTACAGTAATCACACAAGCTTACCTTCACAAACAAAGTCTGCAGTGATCACACAAGCTTACCTTCACAAAAAAAGTCTGCAGTGATCACATGAGCTTACCTTCACAAACACAGTCTACAGTGATCACACAAGCTTACCTTCACAAAGAAAGTCTGCAGTGATCACATGAGCTTACCTTCACAAAGAAAGTCTGAAGTGATCACACGAGCTTACCTTCACAAACAAAGTCTGCAGTGATCACACAAGCTCACCTTCACAAACAAAGTCTGCAGTGATCACACAAGCTTACCTTCACAAACAAAGTCTGCAGTGATCACATGAACCTACCTTCACAAAGAAAGTCTGCAGTAATCAAACGAGCTTACCTTCACAAACAAAGTCTACAGTAATCACACAAGCTTACCTTCACAAACAAAGTCTGCAGTGATCACACGAACCTACCTTCACAAATAAAGTCTGCAGTAATCACACAAGCTTACCTTCACAAACAAAGTCTACAGTAATCACACAAGCTTAACCTTCACAAACAAAGTCTGCAGTGATCACACGAGCTTACCTTCACAAACAAAGTCTACAGTAATCACACGAGCTTACCTTCACAAACACAGTCTACAGTGATCACACGAGCTTACCTTCACAAACAAAGTCTGCAGTGATCACACGAGCTTACCTTCACAAACAAAGTCTGCAATGATCACACGAGCTTACCTTCACAAACAAAGTCTACAGTGATCACACAAGCTTACCTTCACAAACAAAGTCTACAGTGATCACACAAGCTTACCTTCACAAACAAAGTCTGCAGTGCGAATGTCATGGATGGGAGAATCCTTCAGGTTGTGTGGGGAGAAACAGGTGGGGCTCCCTGTGATGACGTTTACTCGTTTTAACCAGTCAGAAAACCAGCCCAGGTGACAGTTACAGGTGAACGGATTCGCCTCTAGATTCCTGAAACCAAAATCGAACAATACTAAAACATCAAGAAATTTCTTTCATCTTCCAAAATACATCAGTTTGTTAAATGTTTGAGAAACAAATGTGATAAAAGAATAATTAATCGCTAGCAATTATTATTATACTTACAGTGTTACTAGATATCTGAGGTTGTCGAAGGTTCCAGCCGTTATACATCGGATCTGATTGTTATGTAGAGACCTACAAATCAAAAAGGTCACATGTCAAATATATTATAATTCTGGAGAACAACCACAGTGACCTACAAACCACAGCATGCTATCTTAAAATCCTAATTGACCTGCTGACCTCCTGACCTATGAACCACAGAAGACTACCGGTATCTATAAACCTGAATGAACAGTCTTTACCATTTGCTTAGAAATATCAGCAGGAGTAAAAATCAATTTTAATTTGATCAGTCACATGGTTTAGTATCCCCAGGTAGTAAAACCCACAGAGCCAAAAGCACAGTGCTACTGAAAATATATTTCACCTTTTTAGGACAAGCAATGTCAAAATCAAGGTTACTATAATCACGATTTTGCATTGATAGTGTCCCCAAATCAATTTTAAGCAGAAAAAGGACCCATATATTAAATCTCCATAATCTTATTCAAACTATGCAGAATTATGCAATTTAATAAAGATTTGGTTTTATTTTGTTTAACGTCCTATTAACAGCTAAGGTCATTTAAGGACGTGCCTCCATGTAAGTTTGCCAGAGACAGGGTGTGTTCGTGTACTTGCCTCCTTGTGATAGCCCGGCCATTTTGTTGAATACTAAGCTCTAACATAGCTTAGCTTCCATTATAATTAAGTGTACAAATAATTCCACTGCCCCAATTTTAATTTTTTTTCTCTCACAAATTTCCGTAACATCAACACTGCCAAAGAAATAACCATAAAACTATTCCTAGTTTATAGCGTACTTTAAATTGGAAGTAAAAACAATATTTTATATCTTGTTACCAGTGACACTTTTATGTTAAAAAAAAATTGACTAACAGGAAATGCAATTTAAAAAGATTTCATATCTTGAACAAATACAATCATGCATAGCCTACAATACCCAGGGAGATAGCCAAACTCCGGCCATAAATACACGGAGTGCAAAACAGTTAACTTGGAGAATTGTGAAGATAAAAAAAGAGCATCGACAAAAACACTGATCGGCTGATAAAGCACACAATGATAAAATGGCATTTGTGTTACAGAACAGTGGAGGTTTGTATGTTCGCAGCGCCTACAGAAAACCCATTTTGTATGTGAAGGAATGAGATGTATGCACATACAAAATGTCTAATCTTTTCTTCGTGTTTTAAGGTTATAAGAGAGAAAATAATGGCTAAGATAAGACTGATGATAATGGCAGCGGAGTCGGTTTGGTGTGAGGAAGGAAGTTGATTTAAAGTGCACCTGATGTTTTTTGTTTAGGATACAAATAGGGACGCAGTGTAAACATGGGCCAAATGAGTTCCCCCTTCCCTCCTCCGTCCCCCCACCCCCTTTTTCACTACCACCCCTGTCGTCGTATTATAGAATATACCACTATAGTCCGGGGTGGGTGGGGGGGTGGGGGGTGGGGTGAAACAGGCATTATCGTGTAACTGCTTAAACTGTTCAATTATTTCAAATATTTCCTGAATCTAAACATAAATTGCGTAAAACTCACAATTTGCGTAGATGGACACTTGATGACAGCGTGGTGTTACTCAAACAGGTAATTCTGTTTCTGTCTAAAGATCTGCAAATAAAATGGTAATTAATTATACAAAGATTTGTGATAATTTACATCAGACAGTTCTTATATACAATAACCTGTCCAAACCAAACCCTGTCTAGACCAGAAACCTGTATCACGGATCATACAGACGGTTGAGGTCAAAATTCAAGGTCAAAGTTTTCAGAACAGAAAGTGGCCCGGATTTTAAACTACAGTTACTGTTATACAGTGTAGAGCAAGGAATTAAAACTTTTTGTTTCAATTGTGACGTCACGTCTGGGACAAGTACGTGACGTCAAAGACTTACGCACTGGAGTCACATTTCAAGGTTGCATGAAAATTGTCGTTTTACACGAATAAATGACACAAATCTTGATTATGTGATAAAAAGGATCTTACACTTTTTTCATTTCATATGAAACTTATGAAACGAGTCTTAAGAATTTTTCATTTAAGCTTGCCAGAGGCTAGCTAAATTGAAAAATTCTTAAGACTCGTTTCATAAATCTCATATGAAATGGAAACTCATGTAAGATCCTATATATCATGGTAATGTTCGCCTCAAGACAAGTTCACTGTATCTGTGTTATGTTCTATAATACAATAGACCTGTGTGCTAACTTACAGGGTCTGTAGGGCCGTCAGACCAGCTAGGGTAATGTTCTATAATACAGTAAACCTGTGTGCTAACTTACAGGGTCTGTAGGGCTGTCAGACCAGCAAGGGTCTTCATCGTGATTTTGTTGATTCTGTTGTTCGAAAGGTTTCTGTGTCGAAAAAAAAAATACCAATTAATTCCACATATTAGAATTAATTTCTTTGTCAAAGCGTCATGAAAATAAAAACAGCAATAATTAATTCCGTTTATTAGAAATCAAATCAATAGAAACAAAATTATGCAAAAATAAATTAATTTTCATTAATCATAACACCGTAATTCTCAATAAAATCATAGAAAGATTAATTTTAGCGATAATTGATAATTCGTGTGGAATTCATAATGAATTTTAATCTGCCACAAAATAATTTTCTTTGTATAATTATCATAAATAGTGAAATAACGTCCTGTCAATCAAGTATTTGAGCTTAAAACCTGCAGGCAAAACGCGTGAAATAAGATATACGCAAAAATGAAGGTATTTACAATATCTAAAAATATTTTCCTCCGTTACTGTAAAACTTACATGTCCATCAACTTCGATCCTCCCTCGAACGTGTTGTGCTCAATGACCTCGATGAGATTGTTGCTAAGGTCACTGAAAACAAAATCAATACACGCAAATGAATGTCAATAATTGTTATTAACATGTTGACAGAATAGCAGCATTTAGTCATTGGCTTTGTTTGATTGCATCAATCAAAAAGATTGGATGTTATTAGCCATGATGACAGAGGGTACACATGCTACAGGAACATGTGAATGGTCCTTTATGTACTCATGAAACTTTGTTGTACGCGTACGTATACACGTAGTTTACCCGTAAGGTTGTACTTTATGATCAAATGCAAGTTCCTATGCCTTAAACTTATTTTTCTGCCGAAAATTTCCTTGAACTCATTCTCCCCTAAAAATAGATTGGACTATTCCAACCTTAAATTTGGAAGAGTTCAAATAACGTGTCTTCAGGGGGTGAAAGAGTTAATTAACAAGGATTTGTCTAGCATGTGTATGAAAAGGAACTCTGACCATAAAACTGGGAAAATTTGTGACATTTATGTTCGGGAAATTTTCCAAATTTAGACATGAAGATTTATTCATTCAAAAAGTTTCATATTGAAAACTCAACTATTTTTCACTTGGCAAGGAGCTGAATGTCAGCCCCGAAGTGTGGTCTAGGTAATTATATATATATAAGTCTGTTGATACAGAAGGGGGAGGGCTTTAATCAAATATAATTTATCAATGTTACCGGATTGCCTCAGCTGACCAGTACACTTACAGTATCTGTAGGTTGCTGAGGTGGACGAACATCCCATTGGCTTCCAGTCTTGTGATCCTGTTACCCTGGAGCAGTCTGTGGGAAAGCAAAACATTACAGTGTTAATATCTAAAACAATTAGGTTCAATCCAACCGTATTTTTCTTCAGCATTTGTTGTTTAATTTTGTTTGTTTCAACCCTTTCACCCCTATGTGACTTTAGTAGACTCTACCATGCATTGATCTGGAGGAGTCCATTATGGTCTATAGTGGTGAAAGGGTTAAAAGTAACATGCAGTAAAATTTGTTCAACTCAAACTTGTTCAGATTCAGGAAAAAGTGTTTTTAGATAAGTAGAATTCTGTATGTTCGAACCAAATTATTTATAAGATTTAGGAGAAATTTTACGAATCATTCTAGTCTGAATGAATCATTTTCTTATCACACATTTTCCTCTGTTTTTATGTAGACTTTTAGAAATAAAATACTGATTGTTTCGAGAAATGTTCTTGATGTAGAATAAAAACAAACAATCAAACAATTAGATGTAGAATGTTTGATACTGTGAAATCACTAATTTTGGTGGGTTTTTAATTTCGTGAGTAATATCCATCCACAGATTTATAGGTCCACTAAGTACATGTAATTACAAGTTTGATATAAAGCAATTCTCTGTTTGAGTGGCTACTCGTTATTTACCAGTTCATGTACCCACAAAATGGTGTTTTGTCGGGAAACCATGAAATTTGGGCCTCAAGAAAATATCTGATTTTACAGCATTGCATTGCTTCCATCTTAGTGTGTTGATGTATTTTATACACTATGTAGCATGTTTTGCATCAGATTGTAAATTTAGATTTCTGGGAAAGTCGACTCACAGCTCGGTAGTGTAGGAAGGGATGGTGGTGGGTACAGTGATCAACTGGCGTCCCGAACAGTCCACCACAGTCCCCCTACAGTCGCAGCCCTCCGGACATTCAACGTCAACCATACACGTCCCCGCGTTTTTAGTTCGGTGGATCTCCGATTCTTGAATAAAAATGACAATTTCAAAGTTAGTTTTTAACAATTTATCACAGACTTCACATTTTACAAGTTACAACATGACGTCAAATTTAAAAAGATACCCTTTTGAAGACCTACCAACTAAAACCTGAACTTTCAGACATAAATAAGCGGCATTCAACATTCCATTCAGAGCTTAATTCATTCACCCCTGAAGACACAATTGAACTCTTCCAATTCATTATGAAATTTCAGGGGTGAATGAGTGAAGCAGAAATGATGGAATAGTTCATTAAGTTTCAGAGGTGAATGAGTGAAGCAAAAATGATGGAATAGTTCATTAAGTTTCAGGGGTGAATGAGTGAAGCAAAAATGATGGAATAGTTCATTAAGTTTCAGAGGTGAATGAGTGAAGCAAAAATGATGGAATAGTTCATTATGTTTCAGGGGTGAATGAGTGAAGCAGAAATGATGACTTTTGAGTAACTGTCATACACACCTTTACACTTAAACCTGGACGGTCGTGTTCGTGCGATCTTCTTGCGCTCCATGCGAGCGGGACTTTCACACCGTACACTGCTCGTTTCGACCGGTCTCCTCTGTAGGTACTCGGCCAGCCACTCCAGGTTACAGTCGCAGATGAACGGGTTTCTTCCCAGATGTCTGCGACACAGAAATATCCCGGGTAAAAATGAGTCAAGATACTTAAATACAGTAAACAAAATTTTTACCATATATCATAATAGTAAATTTTTAAAATTATGTAAAATATTTAAAGTTATTCATATGATTCACTAGCACATTCATCTGAGTCATCGACAATATACTTTTCAAAAAAAAAAAGATTTTGTCAACATGTTTCGAAAATTTGACTTACAGGGTCTGGATGTTGCGGAGCGAGTCGAAGGTTCCGTTGGCCAGAGACATGATCTTGTTGTCATAGAGAGACAGTAGATTTAGGTTGTACAAGTCTCGGAAAATGTCAACGTGTAAACACTTAATCTTGTTGGCATTCATAAGTCTGTAAACAAGAAACAAAGGGTCCGTGTCAAACAGGTTAAAAAAATACATTTAGACACTTTACTTAGTCATAATGAACCCGTGATGATTTTATTGCTTTTTGAGAGAAAGATACAAGAATTGTCTCCCTTGAACTGATAAAAAATCTGGTCGGAACACTAATAATGTTTATGATTGTGTTGTAAACATGGTGAGACACGAATATAAACCTCACAGATAACTTGATGAGACAGCTGTGAAAAATATCATCAACTCCAGCCCTTTACGATGGCCACATGTACTTAGCCACTTGTCGGAACCTTATCTGTGACCCCTTGCAGTGAGGTCTGGGGTCAGGAAAAACATTCATCAAGACAATCTGCAAATGACCATGGATTGACCAGGGAGGGGAATCCCTTACTCTGGACAGGAAGCATGTGTTTTGGAGGAGGGAGGGTGTTGTTATAGAAAATTGTTTTTATTCTTTCAGGGAAGGAGATGTCCTATGTTGGGGCAGGGCCAAAGTGTAAGCAGTCACACCATTATCAGGCTGGACAGAGGACGAGGGGAGGGGGAGGGGGAGGGGAGTTAAAGATGAAGAGGACACAGTCCCACACACTATCTACACACTCCCCAGGGTGAGATGAAGTGGTGTTGGTAAGTCACCACCATTATCAGGCTGGACAGAGGACGAGGGGAGGGGGGAGGGGAGTTGAAGATAAAGAGGACACAGTCCCACACACTATCTACACACTCCCCAGGGTGAGATGAAGTGGTGTTGGTAAGTCACCACCATTATCAAGCTGGACAGAGGACGAGGGGAGGGGGGAGGGGAGGGGAGTTGAAGATGAAGAGGACACAGTCCCACACACTATCTACACACTCCCCAGGGTGAGATGAAGTGGTGTTGGTAAGTCACCACCATTATCAGGCTGGACAGAGGACGAGGGGATGGGGGAGGGGAGTTGAAGATGAAGAGGACACAGTCCCACACACTATCTACACACTCCCCAGGGTGAGATGAAGTGGTGTTGGTAAGTCACCACCATTAATCAGGCTACTAAGTACTGGCCACACTTTAGACCCCAGGGGGAGGGGCATTATCTCCCAGGGGGTGGGGGACTTATCTGCATCTCCTGGGGAGTTGCAGGGGGTCTATGGACTCTGGTATGATCACTCCCCCCTGATAAGAGAGCCTGTCCATTAGTATAGGAAGCATCACAGCCTCCGACTCCCGATTGATTCCCCGTAACACTGTGGTAAAGTACAGAGCAGGCCTCACTAACATATATCACCATATCATTAGCCCTGACATTTTGTAAATAGTTTCAGGATGTGATGTCTTATAATACTCTCGTAAATCTACGTCCTACTGAATTACATTATCAAATATTTACAGAATGATAAACTATTTCTTTCCATTTATCATAATCCATAAATCTTTTTTGAAAGGACATTTCCTACAGCAGTGCAAACCAATAAATAAAAGCAGGCATTTTTGGCACCAAATGATGTTACTGGAGGGTCAAACACCTTGGTTTGGTGGTTCAACGAATGATAAGCTTAATGGGTAAATAAAACAAAAAATTCAAAACCCAATGCTAAACTTAACAAATATTTTTCAGTTTTCTGTTTTTAAGTGAACATAGTGAATCTCTGTAGATATAACTTTAGATTTGAATTTCAATATTTTCTAACATATACGCTGGATTTAACTTTCGCGTCATGTAGTCGTTAAGCCAAGATGGCTACAATGACTGGTCTGTGAAGGATATCAGAGTCTTTAATGTAAAAAAAGATAAAAATAATATTTTCTCTGACTTCCTTAAAAAGATGAATTTTACAGGTCTGAGAAAATCTTTTCATCGTTATCTGCAACACATCTTGGTTATGTGATAATAGAATCTTACATTTCGTTTTCCATTTCATACAAAATTTACGAAAACACATCAGTTTTCAAAAGTAGCTTGAGAGAAGCTTGCTGAAAAAATCTCATATATATCATGACGAATGTCGGTTAAATTCTTCACCCCTGAGTGTTTACTTACAGTAGTTGGAGGGAGCTAAGGTCCCTAAAGACACCCAGAGGTAGCTCCGTTATCTTGTTGGCATACAGGACCCTTGAAATATAACAAAACAACATTATTACATATCTACCGGTGAGTATCAGGAATTATTCATTAAGAAAAATGTTCATTTTTTTACAGCGGTGGGAAATATCAGAAAGACACTTTTCATTAACATTTTTTCAGATGTCATCAATTGAAAATACAGAATACTGAATATATCGCACCATAGCCAATCAAAAAGCTTTAAATTTGTGCGTGTTTGACATCATCCTTGATTGTAATGTCATAGTAGGATTCCGAGGTTGTAACCCGAGTACCGCACCACAATGTTCAGATAAAAGAAACTTGATGTTTTGAAGCAGAATACTTCAGTACTTTTCTCTTGTGCTGGTAGAGTTGTGAATATATTGAACTATTCTGCCACACTTAATTGTGAAACATATATGGTATTCAATGGTTAGATACCCTCTTAATTTTCTTTGCTCAGAGCAAGACTTTTCGCCACTGAAAGGAAAGGATTTTTGATTAAACTGCTACTTCCAGCTTTGTACAAGAAATGAATCAATTTGGATGAAAACATTTCTTCAGTACATATAACCTTATAATTTACAGTAAACAGGAAAACAATTCAGAAAAATGTGGAACTCTTCTTGGTTGGAGATACAAGATGGAGCACTCCACCTTAATTGGAAGTTTGACATTTTATCTATGAGATCAGACAACCCAAGTTTTCGTAGCTACACTTCTATCATCCACGAATGTCAAATGGAATTTTAATTGAATTAACGCACTAATTCTGAACGATAAACAGCAGAACTCTTACAAATGTACAGACATGCTTGTCTATTTTTTTCTTCACAAAAAGATAAAACAAGGTGAACATTTTGTTTTTCTAGACTTATTTTTCTTTGCCATTGATATGAACTGGTAATCAGCAAATCTGCTCTTAAATTTTTGTTAAATAGGAGCATGAATCATTTTCATCAGGTTTTCCCAATCCTAAAAATTCCAAATGTTACTGTCCGACAATGTCAGAGAAAACAGCAAACAAAGACATCCTTGGTCTTAACTTTGATCATCAACGTCATTCAAACAAAGATTAAATACTTTAGATAAAAATACAAATACAAACTAAACTTCATTGCTTGGAACCTACATTAAACCTATCAGTTTAGCAAGTTTGAAAATTTTATTTACAAAAAGAATTAAAATGATACAATGTACTATAAAGTTTAAATTTTCATTTAAAAATGAAACATTATAATGATAAAGTATTTATTTTATTATATCGCAAGTCAAAAACGTGGCGGCTGAAACGAATCGTACGCACATGTTCTTGGCGCGGTCACTATTTTGCTGGGGCGTTGGGAAGCACCCTTCTATTGACTCAATATTAAAGCGAATGTGACAGTGTGAAATGAACAATTTGTCTCGACCAATCAGATTACAAAATTTTCACTAGCCGTATTAGAATAACATAAGTTTCCAATATGAGTTTAAGGGATGCTAACATGACAATCCAGGAGCTTGCATCAAGCTGGAAAGGAATGAACTATTTTATATTTACAAAACAAGAGTTGAGGTACAGCTTTCCGCTTTCTAGATTTAAAGACCTGCAGGGCTGACACTAGCCGTGGCCTCTAAAATTAGATATCTCACCCCGACTATCTAGATAAGGATGAGCATGCCCGAAGCCTGCAGATACCGCCTCTAATTATACCGCCCCAATTACACAAAACAGCTGGAGGTAACAAAACTGCAGTGGAGTTGCACCACAATTTTTATTTTTTCTATCTTAAAGTTCAAGGTTAAGCATACCTCTATGATGCTAAACCGCATAGTCTCACAAAACTGAGAGGGGGATATTTCGGTAAAAAACACCTGTTTAATACCCTTTGAGGAATCCGTACGAGGAATCGGTCCCCGTTTAGGTTTCTTACTTCTGTCAAGTGAACCTTAAGGCAAAGCAAAACCCTAAAGAAACCAACTTATATATAACAATCTTTCAACTCCCCTCAAGTCTAATTTCAAAATGAATTAACTGTGCATAAGTCAAACGAAAATTTCTTTAAATGAATAAGAAAACATAAAATATAAAAAAAATAATAAAAAAATTCTACAAAAGTTTTTCAAATACTCAAAGTTCACACAGGAATGTTTCATTTCATCTTTTAAAACACAAAATTAATAAAAATAAAGAAACACCCTGAAATGCATCTCAGCATTCAGCTGTCAGATTATGCTTCCATTCTGCCTTGAACACAGTGACACCTTTTTCCCCTACGTATTTACGACAACACCTACAGCGGGTTTGAAGTGGTGTTTTGCTTTAGTTCTACGTATCATATGTAAAACCAGATACAGCCTCCCATTAAGGTAGAGAGTCCCTGCCTTCTGCCTTACATCTCCAACAAAGGAGAGTTCCAATTTGTCTACTGCAAGTTGCTTGCCCTTTTATGATAGCAAAAAATTATGTATGAAAACATTTGTGAATTATAATATTCTTTTAACGTTGAAAACCCTGGACCTCTATAGGTTATAAAACATGGAGCCGATCCACTGCACTTAATATACCAGTCAAAATATTTGTTAATTCTTTTCTGCAACATTACTGGAAATAATTTTTAAATGTCCTAGGTACCTCCCTAAAATGGCCCAAAACCTATAGTTGTCTTTAAATATAGAGAAACAAAAATTGATTTTAACATGAAAATAACATTTTAAGCCTGTAGACAGTAGAAAAATGGCGAGACTCTCTATCTTAATTGAGGCCGGTGTGTACTGAAGAAAAAATGATGAGACTGTACCTTGAGGATCCCCGTACCACTACCATTTTCTATAACTATGCAATAAACAATTTTTTTTCTGCACAATTGTTACTTTGAAAAATTCTTTCTGAAAATAAGACCATACCTTGCAGAACTTTTATGAAAAAAACTAACAAAAAAAGACGAATCTACAACAGGATCCGAACTCTGGTCCTCTGATCAATTAACTCATTCACCCCTGAATACACATTTGAACCCTTCCAATTCAAAGGTAAGAACAGTTCATTATGAAATTTCAGGGGAGAATGAGTTAACTGTCACCCTAATCAACTGGCAACTTCAGCCGTTCGACAGAAGCACAATTGGCACAGTGGTGTCACACATCATATCCAAAAAATATTAAGGGGAGGTAACTGTTTGTTAAAACTACAGTGATATTCTCTAGTGTTTTGCCTGTAATGGGGCAAGTATCCTTAATTGTTAAGAAATCACTCTAGGACACCGTCATGATGACACTGCAATTTTTCACTCGTCGTCGTATTTCTAACATGTTCCATGATTTACATTGCCTTTGATACCCGTGAAAAACAATACAGTTGAAAACCTATCACACAGGTATTTCCGTCCGAACACTTCACTTTCAGGTCGGAGTTGTATAACCGATACCTTGATGTCAACAGAGAACTGAAACCTTAAAGTCGCCAAATATCTTTGTTTTCATTCCTAAAAGGTGTTTTACATAAATAAGCAGGCAGGTCTCAATATCAGGGGTTTTGTGTGTTAAGTTACATCGTCACTGCAAAGGGAGTATATCAGATTTATTTGATTGAAGTTGAAGTAAGGTTAGGTGTCACGTGTAAATAAATGAATGGCAGTGCCAGAAAAACACTATCTCTTACCCTTAGAGTCAAGTATGGCAAACCTGATATAAATTCTTACATAGAAAAATACTTGTATTACAACTATTAGATTTATCCTTAATAAGCCCAGCGGGGGCTCACACATGCCCAAGCTTAATTATCACCGGACAAATAAATAAGACATATAACATTTCTACTGAGCCGCAATATATATGGGTGGGCTTATTACCAGGCATGGGCTTATTACCAGGCATGGACTTATTACCAGGCATGGGCTTATTACCAGGCGTGGGCTTATTACCAGGCATGGGCTTATTACCAGGCATGGGCTTATTGCCAGGCATGGGCTTATTACCAGGCGTGGGCTTATTACCAGGCATGGGCTTATTACCAGGCGTGGGCTTATTGCCAGAATTCACTCTTCCGTTGTTTTGACATTATGTCAAATCTTTTATCGTCATTTATCAAAACAGTATCATGATCTTTTTAATATATAGATATTGTCAAGGTCCTGAGAGAAAAATCTAATATAACAGGTCCAGGGAGAATCATTTTTTACATAAGAAACACAAATTGTATCACCAAGGTCCTGATTGGACGATCCAAGGTAATCCCCATTATAGATCATAACCAATCAAAGAACATTTTTCAAATTTGAATTTCTCAAAGGTAAGGTGAATCGTTTGATGTTCTATCACAACACCTGGGGAAGGCCTTTCATGTCCAGGCATAAAGTTTTGGGCTTCAGATTGGAGCATGAATGAAGAGTTACATTTAACACAAGGAATGATATCAGATTTAATTAAAAGCCAGTTTACGTCTTCGTGGTATCTGATAGTGTTTTATAGATCTGATCAGGTGTGCTAACGGTGCGGAGTTATATCGGAGATGGAATCCAAATTGATGCAGTTTTTAGCTTGATAGTAATCCTCTACAAGAATTGTTTTGTAATGAGCAGCTTTGCACATGTATTTGACTAAAGATAATGCGTTTATCAGCAGTACAACAGGACGAGATATTGTTTTAACACTGAAATCTATTTACCAGGATCTCAGACGCGGCATGGCTGGAATCTAAAGTGATATTGTTCATGTGAAATGTCCTAACGCGAGGCTACTTAAACACATCACAGGGGGAAACCTAACGTTGAACATCGCGGAGATCGTACTGAGATGGCACGGAAAGAATTTAAATTAATATTGTGCTAGAAATCCTTGTCTATAATCGCTGAAAAATATAAAGCAAGATTCGGTGATCGTCAGAATGTAAGATATTGAAATCCAGCCAAGGCCTAATGACGTGAAATCAAAATCTAAAACACAAGTACCGTATGTCATGTAATAAGGGTATACCCACTGTAAAACAGTCCTGCCCGCTTCCCCACAGGAATTTGAGACAACTTTTGCAACCAAAATGCAGTCAAGTACAATACTGTTTAACGGAAACTTTTTACTACAGTTTAAATTTTTGCCTTTTTCACCAGCCATAATGAGGACAAATTTATCATTACAGCAAATATTAGCAAACAGGATAATTTAATAGAAATTAAATGTGACATGCAAAATTAACACTGGGCGAAGTGGGATTATTCTGGCGATTAGAGCGAAAGATTGACTCGGCGAACATTTCCAAGTATACAGTATTCGAAATTCGAGGTATGTTGTTTGAAGAAAAATGGTGTCTAAATATAGGTACCCCACTTTTCATTAACCTATACGTCTAACGCCCTTATTACGTCAACTACAGTAGTATTGAGGTTGATTTTTTTCTGATCTTACAACATAAACTACTTGATGGTCCGATATCGTATCTAATAATTTTGTCCAGCTGTCAGCTCTTTACATCGCCGTCGTAACACACCTTGTCGTTTCAAATACAAGCATTGCAAAGTGGAAAAAGTTCGTTTATAAACAAAGAGGAAAAAGGTAAAAAATAAACAAATTCTTATCTATAGCGCAGACGACTTTGAGTTCTCCAATGAGTACTTTTGAGTTGTGAAAAGAATATTCAGTTTAAAGATGTTTTAAACCTTTCCAACAAAAAAACGTTAAATGTTAAATGTTAATGAAAAAAATATGAAACGCTGTATCAAGCTAACTGAGCGAGGAGTGAGTGATCTCGAAGCTCTATGATTACGGAGCTCAGAAGTTTAACAAGTGTGAAAATATTCTGTAGATCCTATTGGTGGGGTGAACCCCTGGGGAGACACAGTCGGCCCCCTCTCCAGATACTTACAGCGAATTAAGAGATGAAAGCCCCGCAAACGCATCAGGTGCAATGTGGGATATCTTGTTGTTGCTTATATCACTGAAAAAAACAAATTTGAAACAATATTACTGGTAGATGTTAATGGAGTCTTGAGGAGTTTAATACTCAGGCGTGGGGGTTACATGGAAAAGATTACCGAGGCCAAAATATCTACTTGTTGTTTTCTCATGCCGCAATCTTGATATTTAAATCATTCACCCCTGAAATTTCATAGACCAAATTTTGATAAAATCCCTCCAATGGTACAGAAGAAGAAGGATTTAAAGATTTAAACCTTCAAATACCCCTATTGGGCTCCGCCCCTCTGCACCAAGAGGGGTCACACCCTCTGTTTATACAAAGATAAGTCCCCTTTGCCCAAGGATGTTCCAGGCCAAATTTGGTCAAAATTCATAAAGCTGTTCAGGACAAGTAGCTTTTTAAAGGACAAGTTGACGGACAGAAGGACAGATTCTGTGGTACTGACATAAGCTCACCAAAATATATTGTAAGCTTTAATAGACATCTAGGCCTTATGATATCATATAGGAAACAAATAATTAAATTGGTTTGGCCTGGGTTCCAACATTAAGAGGGCACAACTGTAGTGTTAAAAATCTAACATCTCGAGGGCCACTTGATAACAGTAATGAAATATGTGTAACACCGACCACCTGATCTGACAAACGACTTCTGATTGATATTTAATGAAGCAAACCCATTAATAACATTGTAATATGTTTTCATTTCATGGAAATCACTAACATATGTTTCACTTTAAAGTTTGGTGCTTTTGACTTTCATTCAAAAAAGTTAATCTCATAATTTAAAAAAAAAAAATGAAAAATCATAAATGTCTAAAATCCAAAACATTTCTCGCCCTAGTTGTTGGAAACTGGTTAAATTTTTAGGAAAATTAGTAAAGAAAATTTTATCCAGTATTCTTTCTAAACTTTTGAAATTCAAAACTTAAGTTTAATGTAAAGGTTATTCAAAAATAAAAATTATAGTTTTTGAAATCAGCATTAACCCGTTCACCCCTATGTAACTTTAGTAGAATTTTCCATGCAACTGATATGGATGAGTCCATTATGGTCTGCAGTGTTGAAAGGGTTAAAGACCTGTTTGGTTATCAAAGCTTTGAAAAACCCAGCCAATGATACAAATAATCAATTTGGATCACATTTATTGGCAAATGAGGCACTAAGAACAATTTTATGAAATTCATTAACTTTCAAATTTGAAACCATAATTAACTTAATATATTAATCATGGTTGTATATTTTTGTTTATCCTATGGCATCTGTTTTGAAGTAAAGAACAAACAGTTCCCTTTAGGTCTCAATTTCCATGGATAGTCACTAATATAAGAAGCATAAAATTGAATTTTATGGGGTTTTTTTTGACAACTTATCAAGAAATGATCCCAGCAATTTTCCAGACTTAGAAAATTCATGAAAATTTGTATTAACCGAATGATTTAATACGCATGGATTCAAATTTGACCCTGAGCTGAGGAAAAAGCCCAGAATATTAGATTACAAATTATGTGATCGACCTTGATATGCCCATGTGTTCTGGCGTTTTTTTATTTCTCGACGCTAAAGTAAGTACAAGTTTTGTTTATCCTTAAATCTTTGAAGTATGACATCAATGTAAGCTGTAGAAGTTACAGTGATACTGTGTTATAGGAATGTACCCAAGCCAAGGTTACACAAAGGAGTCAGTTTTTATGTCACCTGTTTGTTTCTTTATATTACCTGTCATGATTTTTCTCACCATTTCCCTAGCTGTTAAGATTTTATTTCCAAAACAGTACTAAATCATTTAATTTTTCTTTTTTAAAGATGTGCTTTCTGCCCTTTCATGACTAATTTGTGATGACATTCAAAAGGAAAAATAACACAGGTAAACATAACTGTTTTCAGATTTGTTTGAATTAATTTTCAAAGGATATTTCAATACAGGTTTGATTCTGAAGAGACGATGACATAAAGAAATGGAAAAATGTACATGTATGTAACATCTGTAGGGACCCAAAGCATTTTCATGTCAACAGCATTCTTAAAGGGACCAATGTGTTTTCATGTATCTCTATAAGCTAGGAACCCAAAGGGTTTTCATGAATACAATATCCATAGGGACCAAAAGTCATTCCTTGTGTACAGTCTCCCTAAAAGGACCCATTATTGTCTCCTTTAATACGCTATCCCTATGTAGGGATCAAGAGTGGAATTCTCATTATTTTAGGCAGTATCTTTCATTCTGTGATAAACCTCTTCACAAAAGTTAGTTTTGAAGTATTTTTTCTAAATAATGAATTTCTAGATTTAATGAACTGACAATATAAAATATAAACTTGGAATGATTTTTTTTTTAAAGTTGTGATAATTTGCCTAATTGCCTACCACACCAAAGAGAAAGTGCTAGTTTTAGGAGATGGTGTTGTATACAGCATGTGTAGACAGTGAGAGTTTAATGACAGCTGGTGTAAACCAGCCCTGTACAGTCCTCCGTTGGTACGTGTAGTGTATACAAGACTTGGGTGACCCAGTCAGGCTCATCAACATGTAAATTAGCCCCTGACACAACCTGCCAACTGTATGTACACAAACCAATACTGAGGAATTCCCTAGCCAAACCCTGATCCCATCAGCACATCATTGATTCTTCTCCCCACATCACTAATCCCTCCCCTACTCCCCCATCACATCACTCACCCATTCACCACATCACTGATACCTATAGGTCCCCACATCACCAATCAACCCCCTCCCCCTCCCAAGCACATCACTTATCCCCTCCCAACCACATCCCTTATCCCCTCCCAACCACATCACATATCCCCTCCCCACATCACTTATCCCCTCCCAACCACATCACTAATCCCCTCCCAACCACATCACATATCCCCTCCCCACATCACTTATCCCCTCCNAATCCTCCACACACACACCACTTATCCCTTCCAAACATTAATCAATCTCCCCTCATCATTTATCTTTAAGTTCCCCATATCACCTGAAACAATTCAACCCCATGACACCTGTACATATTGATTCTTGGACCCCCACAAGAACAACATCAACTTAAAACAATTTGGCTAAATGTAATATTTACATTCCACACACGACAGAAATGTTACGATTTCTATTTTATACTTACATTCTTCGAAGGCGAGAAAGGTCAGCGAAAGCTCTCGATGGTATCCGAGCAATGGAGTTTCCTTCCAAACGTCTGAAAACGATTTTTGATATTGAATATTTGCATTCAGGAAATAGGCAATAATGGTTTAATAGTGTTAAAGTTAGAATAACAAACCAATTTAGGTCTACATGTTACAATAGTAGGTGAGTTTGAAGTATGCTGCATTTTTCATTTTTTCTTTTTCGCCCTCTGTAATGAAGGCGAATTCATTATGGCACCAAATCTTACTACATAGAGTACCAAACATTGTCATACCATGCGAAGGGCAAATTAACACTGAATACATATTTTACTCGTAAAAAGCGAAAGTTTGACTTCGCGAAAGTTTCCCTCTCCAGCCATTTACAATTGTCAATTAACTTTTACACTTTTGATAACTTATGACTTTTAAAAATAGGAGTTTTCTGTGAACTTCTAGACTTCTTGTTCTTGTGACCTTCCAAAATGAAATTTTCTGGGAATTTTACAGCATCCAATAGCCTATATGACCTTCAAGTATGACCTTCTGTGACCCTGACATTCATAGGCAATATGTCTATCAAGTAACATTTATGACCTTCATAAAACACAGGCCTTTGTTGGACAGATTTCAAATCCAAAATAGCTTTTCTTCCAATGACCTTGACTACGAATGACCTTGACAAAAAAAAAATATCGTCTGTCTTAAACCAAACCTATAATCATCACATATGCCAAAATGACATAGAGTGATTGTGTTTGTCTAACAATCTGTTGTACGGAACGCAGCCCATCTACTTTGACCATTTTATCCCTGCAGCAGCCATTATTGGCAGCATGATTGGGTGTTGTGTTCCACAGAAATTATAGACCCGGTTTTACAGGGCAGTATTTATAGGTATAAAACACGACAGAATGGACAGCGATCGGTGCACGGCCTCCGAATACAGCCATGCTTGGCTGTCTGGGAAATGTTAGGGTTTAGGGAAGACAGCTTCTGTATAACAAACAGATACACGCCAAAAAAAAAATCCAAAAAAAAAGTATCTTCTAAGTATACCAAACTTCAGTATTAAAAGCCAGATTTACACTTTGTAGGTGTAAAAATTCATTGACCTGCTAAAGATGAAACATTATTATGGCCCTGATTTCACATTAAAGCATTGTTGTGACCTTGATAAGTTAAAACATTGTTATAAAACTGTTATTTAATGTTAAGCTATTGTAATGACTTTGAATTAATGTTTAAACATAAAACTTTTTAGGACCTTGATTTAATTTTAAAACTTTGTTATAAAAACATTGTAATGACCTTGATCTAAAGTTCAAACATTGGTATGATGATGATTAAATTAATAAACTTTGGTATGACCTTGATTTACAGTTCAAACATTGGTATGGTGAAAATTAAATGATCAAACTGTGATATGACCTTGATTAACAATAACATCATCAACAAGACCCCGACTTACATCTCAACAACATCTTCAGGAAAGTTTCCTGGCACAGCGGTGAGTCTGAGATCGCGACAGTCGACAACACCCTCGGTACAGCGACAACGGGAGGGACACATGGCTTCCTCCAAACACTGGTTCACAACTGTATGCTGTAGGTCTGTAAGAGGCAAATATTACTGAATTCTGTTTTTATCTAAAACATTTTAAACATTTTCTACATCAATATCCATATAATTTCCTGCTAAAATAAAACATAAATACATTCAAATCAAATAGAATCCAATTTGTGATCATTTGTGATCGTGAGTTTTGATAAAATTTATTTTATTCATCCTTCCATATTACGGAGACAGATAATCAGTTCTGAAGGTTTCCTTGGGACATTTAGGGAAATGATACCTCACAGCTATTCAAAATTTAAGCCAAAGCTCTCCAACTGCCTATAATGGAAGACTTTTAATCTATAATCTTAGCACTTCAAATTGTAACGTTATACAAATTACGATTCAAATACTCGTGATTATCCTTCAACAACCATCAATCTCCGGAGCGCATTTCCTCCTCGTCTGTGACTACCTCATCATTAGCTCTATAACTAATAAGATTAGAATCAAATTTCTGCCAATTCCGATCATGTGTTAAAATAGCCTATGTAGGCTTGAAGTTAACAACGATTTTCCGCCAGTTTCTTTTGCGGAAAACCGATACAAAGAAAAACATGGCCAGATGCTACAGCAGATCCCATTAAACCTATTAGGGGGCCGAGTAACCTGGTGCAATGAAAAACAAACAAACCGTTGCATTTAAATTCCATCTCATCAAGATCTTTGAGCTCAATGCTCTGCAGATTTGAGGGAGTCGAACACTCTGTCCCCCGTCCGAGCCTCCTCGCGTTCCTCAACCAGCGTGAGAGCCACCTCAGATTGCAATCGCAATTGAAATTATTGTTCATCAAACGCCTGCAAAACAAAACACACAGAGTGATTGAAACATTGCCGTAGGGAGATTGAAACGTTTAGCGTTACCCCGATGTGACTGGGTTACAGTTGATTAGGCTCCCTGTCTAGACTCGTAATCAAGACGACCCTCTCACTGAGCTCTGTGAGCTTAGCACTGAACCAAATATATAAATACAAAATGCTGTCTCTAGTTCCCTTTCATAAAACGACTACAGACAATAGAATCTCAAAACTTCAATAATTCATTTTCATTTAAATATTTGATCAAATTTCCATATATTTTTTTTAGATGAGAGTGAAAGTGAGGCTATGTATGCCACACCAGGCTCCAATAATAATTTCAGCATAAAACGATCTATCTAGATTAGTATGTCAAACTTATTTAAGCAAGGCACATGTCGAAAATACCATGAACAACGCAAAATGAAAATAAAAGCAACTCGTCCATCAAAATATTCCAAGGTTCGAGAAACACCAAGTCGGTCTGGATTGCTTGTATAACAGAGTGTTAAGTATCATTGAACTTCATGCCAACATTTATGAAAAAGTACGCAAATATTAGAAAACCCTTTATCAAATTAATTCAACATGAATTTGCAAGGATAAACAAGTTCATTTATCTAATTTTTACTTATTTTCAGTCATATTACAGGGTTCAGAAATCTGTTTTTAACTCCAAACACACTTCCTCATCATTTTGGATTCTTTGAAGTCTGAACTAATGCCTTTTTGATTATACCTTTCTTAATTAAAAAGTAAAAAATATGTCACTCGCACAATAACTTTCTTCAGTTCATTTATATGAAAGCAAAGCTATGAAAATAGCATGACCTTATTCCAAACTTGTCTGTCGAGTGTTGTATTTTAACTCATTCACCCCTGAAATTTCTCAATGAACTATTCCAACCTTTGAATTGGAAGAGTTCAAAAGTGTCTTCAGGGGTGAATGAGTTAAACTAAGAAATGAGTAAGGTTTAGTTGTTATTGTCATGTGACTTCCCAGACAATTCCTATTACGTCACGGCTCATCCCTAATTTCTACCTTAGCAATAAAAAAATGTATATTGTTGTTCTGATGACAGCTATCCTAGCTAGCAGAAACATGTAAACCATTACTGAATCTAGATGTTGACACTCCATTTTATATATCCCTTTAAATTGTGTTTTGTATAAATCTGTTAAAAAATTGTTCTCCATCTAATTTTCAACCCAATGTCAAACTTGCTGGAAACAAAACAATGCTAGTTTAGGATTTGCAATTTTACTGTATAAATATTCATCAAAACTTGATGAAATTTACCATGAATAATTGTGATAGCGACATCTATTTGCTGCCGTCTGCCCCTAGCCCCTCCTACCTCTGTGAATTGTTAGAGGAATTAGTCGGAGATAAGGATGTGTGTGTTGGCACACGGCTTCCAGTTAGATCCGACAACATTACGTGTGATCCCTTAAGGTTTCCACATGACACGGGACACCAATGTAATTAATTTACTACCACCCCATCGTCAAAAATATTAGTTTATGTTTTTTTATTCAATTAAAATTATAAACAAGGGGCGGAATATGGCAGTGCTATCTTTGAACTCCACTATAGACTGTATGGGGAGGGTTGATATGGGCGCCAGACTCTCCGTTTTCACCGAGTCTAATTACGCAGCCTGGGTAGATACTTAGGCAAGACAAAATGCTGAAAATCACTTCATCCTTTCCAGCATTAAAACTGTATAATTCTTCTTATAATGGAAGTAATGAGCATAGAGCTTTTCAACATCAATGAAACATGCTGTAACTTTCAATTTTTTTTGTTTTACAACAATAACAAACAAAACTAAAATCCACCCCTCCCCGAAAAGACAAAAAAAAAACCAATAAAAAACAGAATATCAAAAAAAAAAAAAAAAATTTTTATTAAAAACTGAACAAAAAAAAAAAAAAAAAAAAAAAAAAAAAGNGTTTCACTTTACTACTGAAACATAGCATCAACCTCTTCAGATTTTTAAACATGTGTTTGCAAATAGTGTTGTACAGTTGTAAGTTTTCCATCACAAGCTGTAAGTATATCTCCTCTACAATGTTAAAGTTATATAACATATGTACATGACATTATCAGACATCCATGCTTCCTTCAGAAACACATTTGCTCTAAAGCTTGGTTGCTCTTTCAATCATTAAATTACAATAAATAACCTGATAAAGGAAGTTTTAATTTTCTTTCCATATTTTTAACGATGCAAACCTGGAAAATGTTCATTTCTCATTGAGTAACTATTTGCAGTTTGTGATGTATTTACTTTGATCCTGTGAAGAGAATTTTCTGTCTACCGAGCCTTAATGAAATACAAACTTTTAAAAGTCTGACTCATACACTACCAATTTATAAGTTATCTAGACATGGCCTGTCACACTCCAGATTCACATTTTACGTTCTTTACAACCTATATGTATTGTTTTTGTCTTCATAATCATTAGTAAAACTAATATTATGCCGTATTTCAACATTGTGCTAGTTTACTATGTGTATTGGTATCTGGCCTCAGTTAATCCCATGCAAGACGCATTATTAAACTTCAATAGTGCTATGGGAAACAATTTCCCTTGATTTTGATGCTATGGGAAATGTTTTATCATTAATTCCGATGCTATGGGAGACATTTGCTCTGTATTCTGTGGAAAAACATTTCACTTATAGTACTGGTGCTATAAAAAAAACATTTTACCATCAATTTTGATGCTATGGGAAATATTTTATATTAATTTTTGTGCTATGGGAAAATATTAACCATTAATTCTGTTGCTAAGGGAAACATTTTACCATTAATTCTGGGGCTAAGGAAAACTTTTTATCCTTCTGGTGCTATGAAAAATGTTTTACCCTCAATTCTGGTGCTATGGGAAATGGGAGAATTTTACTATTAACCCTGATGCTACAGAGGACCTTTTACTGTTAATCTAGACAAAAATAATGAATAAATCACTGTATTTTTTTCGGATCCACAAAGCAGACTCGTATACAAAATTCACATGTAGTCTATGTCCAAGGTTAGGGTTCTATCTTAATGATTGTTGGCTGTAGCCATTGATGTGCTGCTTGAAGTCACCTTACAGTCACAAGGTAATCGTACTGGGTTGGTAACTAATGATGAGGGAGGTCCTAGGAGTGGTGCAGTTCCCCCGAATTTAACAGGTCAGCAGATCCTGGTGGAGCTACAGCCTGATCACAACCCCTCCCCGTACACCTTCCTCTCTCCGACACATCACATGCATTCTTAAAGCTCGTTTCAAATTTCAGTAGAAGTAACTTAAGAAACCAGAAGGAAGTTTGTAAGATAACGATTTCCGCCGTCCCCCACAGGTAGTAGTAATACTGTTTGTCTGTACGTCATCAACATGTTGTAATGAACTCCAGGTGAAAAAAATGCTGATGCCCTATGCGACATCAAAGTGCAGATATGTCCATCAAATCCTGTATCAAACTCACCAGATTCCCGTCTTTTTCATCAGAAATGATAACAGGAAGTCCGTTGAAAAAACTTCTTTCTCACATCATATCTTGAAAACTGAGGGTTATCAATTTTGCAGCGTTATTCAATAACAAGGCCTGAACATTAACTTGGAAAGCTATGCTTGCGTTCTTTATAAATATTAACCTTTATCTTAACCAAATAGTGCTGGGACATCAAAAGATTTCTCATCAACCAAGAATTTAAACATTTGTACACTCTTCTTTCCCTTCAGCTGCTGAATTCAAGCTTTTGATTGACCATGCTATCAGGTAACAACCCCCCCCCCCCCCCCCCCCTTACCACTCACACACCAAGCTTTTGATTGACCATGCTATCAGGTACCCCTACCTACCCCCTCCCCCTCCTCACACCACACCTGCTAAATTCAAGCTTTTGGCTGACCATGCTATTAGTTGACCATCCCCTCCCCCTCGCACACACAATACACACTTCACACTGAATTCAAGCTTTAGAATGACCTGGTATGATGCTTTCAGGAATCCACCACCACTACTTTCCGGCAGTGGTATGTACTATCTTGTTACCATGTTTATGTTTTGATAGGGAAGGAACAGGAATCAAGTTGATCTGATGACAAGAAACACCTGGCCACCGACTGGACGATATATCTTGCCTCCCCATCCCCGTCAACTCCCCTCAATCCATCTTCAACTCTTCCTTAGAATCACAAGTCTAGTAGTATGTAGCTCCCTAAACATTCACTTGACAAAGTTTTCTAGACAAAAATTTGACAGACGATCTTTGAAAAAATAGTCCTATTTAAGACAGATAGCCTGATAGCACTCTGTGAAGTATCTTCAGCATAGAAGAGTTCCAAATTGTTAGGCATTTTTTCTGACTTGGTGTTTAAAAAACTTTCCCATTTACGATACAGCAAAGAGTTCTGTATTTACATAGGAAATAACTTTATTTTCTATAATTTTGATTTTCACAAAAACATTTTAGTGACTGGGATTTATAATTTTTACTTTTAACAGGAAAGAAGCTTCTCAAGGTCTGTATACAGTAAACATACAGTGCCATAACTCTCTACCTTTTAATTTTCTGATGATTAATTTTTAAAGAAGGAGCTATTAACACTTTATCTATAGAGGTAGACATCAAGTAATGTGATCACCCGACAACCAAAAAACACTGACTTTATATTTAGACATATACCAGGTAACCATGATAGTTGGTGGAATTTTTTATCATGTTTGGATGAAAAAGTCTAAATTTAGACACAGTATCGTGTTCGTGTGGTTTTTAGATCATGCTTAGATGAAAAAGTCAGAAAAAAATGATTCCAGCCTACATACAAACACAAATTACAGTGAAGAGTTTACTGTTTATATAATTTCTGTTTTCTCTGCCTTCATTCAATAGTGATTTCAGATATTTCAAAAATAATTTCTCAGCTGCCAGATTTCCCTTGCTTGATTCAAAATCGCTTAATGAACTGATCAAGCAACAAAACAAAAATTAAATTAAAACAAGAGATTGTCAGGAAAAAATATGTTTCTCATTTTGCCCAATGTCGTCCGACATTATCGCATTCAGCAGAGTAATTAGGAATGATCTCAGGATTTGGAAACTTGACTTGCTAACATCCGGTAAACCTGATTTGATCTGATACAGCTTGGTTGGAGATGGAACATGGGGAGGAAGGGGGACCCTAGGATACCTGTTGCAATACTTACATAACCGATGCTCAGTCTAAAGCATTCCACTATATACTTATATGATAAATCAAAACATCTTGTTAAAATTTTATAATGTAAAGTAGAAAAACAAATACAGCATTTTGACTTCTAGTGTATGAATATATGTCATTTTTTGTTTAATATTATTACAAAAGATTTTATTATTTGTGAGCATTATGACGAAAAACCTTAACACTAACAGGGCTTGATATAACACAGGTGAACGTAGATTACATCAGAGATGGGGGATGGGGGTTGGGAGTGGGGGTAGTGGGGAGTGGGGAGGAGGGGAGGGGAGGAACAGATGTAAGGGAGTCTGCAATGTCTGTGTGCAGATATAAACTTCACAGAGATAGATCTCAGCAGGACACACGATCCCCGCCTATAAACACTGCACTGATGATGTATCCCCAACATCTGTCTAAACTTCTCCACTATCCCTAGCACAGCAATGACAATTCTCTGGCTCGGACACAACCCTAGAAGTCCTTCGATTCTGACTACAATACTTTGTCTCTCTGACTCGGCCCTGGCTGATTGAATACTCCAGAGTTGTGTCCCCTGAAACCTGTGCCAGGTGGTCTCAATGTTTATGAAAACCTCCAACCTTAGTCTAAATAGTGCTGAGGTGAAGTGTCTCATCTTCTTAAGCTCAACACCGGAGATTCCTTCCTTAATTAGCATTAGCAAATCTAAATAAGATCATTCCTCAAGGTTAGTACCCTTCAAGGTCACAAAGATTCCCTTCAAGGTCAAATACACCCACTTGTTCCTAAAAGTGAACCAGATTCACCCTTCAATGTCAAGCAGATTCCCCTCAAGGTCAAACACATAAATTTGCCCCTTAAGGCCAACTACATAAAATTGATCCTCAAGCTTAAGAGGATTTGCCCATCAATTTAACCCTCATCGTGTTGAAACAATGTTACTTACAGAGTTCTGAGCTTCCTCATGTTACTGAAGATGTCGTCAGGGAGTGTAGTCAAATTATTGTTGTTCAGAGTCCTGGAAGTAAAAAATAAACACTTATAATGGTATTATAGCCATCAGAAAATATAACAAAAATATAGAAGTTTTTATCTTAACTATAAGTCAAGGTCAGTTAAGTGTTTGATTTCAATTTCTGAACTTTTGACACTATGATACTGAAGTTTCTGTCTTAACAGTAGATCAAGGTCACTTGAGTGTTTGATTTCAACCTTTGACCTGTTGACGTTATTGATACAGAAATGTCTGTTTTAACTGTGGGTCATGGTCAGTTGAGGGTTTGATTTCAATCTCTGACTTATTGAAACTATGAATACTTAAATTTGTCTCTTAACTGTAGGTCAAGGTCATTTGAATGTTTTATTTCAACCTTTGACCTATTGACATTATGATACAGAAGTTTCTTCCTTAACTGTTGGTCAAGGTCACTTGAGAGTTCTGAACAATTGATATCATAGATACAAAATTGTTGACATCAAATATTACCAAATGTCACGGAATCATAACCATTTCTAAACTAAATACAGAGAAGGGACGGTATTCATCGAGATAAGCAAAGAAAACAATGATATTTCATTTGATAAAACTCCAATCATCACACACAAATTTGATATACCTGATATTATGAAAGTATTATTATTTGTGATTGGTTCTGTAGCTGTATGTGTCGGCTAAGCCACACACACATTTGCTGTAATCATTGTTACAGAGACCTGAGGTGAAGGAGGACGACACAGCCATCACTAATGAAAGACAATCAAAAATTGTGGAAGTGGCAGATCTGAATTGAGCCAGACAAAACAAGACATTAATGAAAATAACTATTGGCCTAGATGCCAGAAAAAGCATAACTGTGGCCCTTTGGGCACTTAATGATGCTAGCTACGATGAAAATGTCCGTTTCATTTGTGCTGGTTTCCAATGACAAACGAATAAATGTCGTTTTCACTTCTGTCGTTCCGTCCCATCTGGGACCTGTCCGAGACAGCATTGTTAGCCTCACTTCTCAACACATAACTTTAATTTCATTTGTTTTTCTTTTTCACAATAAATAATTTTCAAAAGAAAAGCTGACAACATCGGTAATTGATGATTGGTTAAAACTTCTTAAATAATATTTCTTCGTCAGAAAATCTGAAACAAAAATTGAAAATGATTTTTTTTCTTCTGCAGTTTTGTGTAAGCTGACATACTTTGACTGTCAACAGAGGAGGTCTCCATAAAGGTGTTAGGTCTGATAAGTTTTGTCAGATTACTCCCGTTCATATTCCCCCCACTGAGATGTGGTCAGAGGCACAAATTTTAAAACACAAAAAACCAGCTGGATGCACAATCTGTTGATATGTCTACTGAGCATTTTTCACTTGTAGAAAGCGTCATCTCAGAATCAAATGTATTCTTAATGATAATTAGTTTTTTTTCCGTGTTATATTGCAGATCAACATTTTTTTACGAAAGATACGAAATTGTTATTACGATGTAAAAATGAGTTCTTAATGGTAATCCTGGTTTGGCTTACATCAGATCCTGTGTGGCCGTCTTCCCGGAGGATCAAAACACGACACAATCTAGACAGCCAATCATAATCCGTAAACTGGAGACCAGCATGGTATATCCGTATGGAAATGCCTTCTTAACGATTATTGCTTTTATGATCAAAAAGATCATCAATTTGGCTAAGGCGAATGCTGGTCGCACAAAAATAATGAAACCCTGTGTTCTTACATCTAAGATATAAGTAAATGCATTAATTAACTTTATATTTTAAAACATGATGAGTCTCGGATCTTTCCCTTGCAAAGAATATTTTCTAAATGAACCTTTTTACAACAGTTTAATTTGTTACTGGCTGATTTTAAATGTCGACATGTAACAACGACTTACAATATCTCCATGTATCGATGTGCCTTGATAGCGTTTCCAGATACACAGGTCAGCTCGTTGTGGTCAAGTTGCCTAAAACAAAGGTCAAATGTGAAAACATCATATATCTCTGCATAAAAAATATTATATATATAGATCTCGTCTAAGTAGGATACCAGTACGATGCAAAACTGGAGTCCTTCACATAATCACATCAGTCATTTCTTGGTACGATTTAATTCAGCCAAATCCTCATTATATTTGTATTACGATTATTATCAAATTTTAAGCATCATTGTGGACGAATAAATCCCTCTACCAACATGTAACAAGAAACGTGTACGTGTAATTATTTAGTCATCACGTAGAAATGGTCCGTATCTCGAACCAATCATGTGTTTGTTATCATCATTTGTCTTTCTTAATTTCTATCTTATTTTGTGGTTTGTTCCAGACATTTGTGTGGTTTTCAGCTCTACACGGTATAAGAATTGTTAGCCAGTTGAGTTTTAAAGCGGAACACCTGTTCAACTGAGCCCCTGAAACCCTTTCTTCACCTGAACCTGTGGAAATTAAACCCGTTTTCAGCTGCACATCGGAGCAACAAGTCAAGTTGCTTTACTAAGATCTAAAGGGAAAATTTTAGAATTGGCAATCTAAACCTTTGTTGTAATTGTTAGAAACCTCCTATAGGTTACGTGAACTACTGTTTTGGCAGAGAAGCTACAACAGAACCTTGAGGAGACTCAATAAAATGTTTCCCTGAACTTTAACGTATAAACAATAACACATCCCAGTAACATCAGCAGAAGAAAAAACATGGTAGGATCAACACACACACAGTTATAGGACATGACAGTTACTATCTGAAGGGGAAAGCTTCATCTAGACACTGGGTCAAGTTTCCAAAAAATACATATTCTTAGCATCTTATCGTCCTCCACGTCTTTGCCCATAATTCCTTGTCTTTGAGACGGAGCTTGACTTTATTATCAATAGCGAAGTTCACACACCTGGCGGTAGTGCAAACGTGAGGAACAATTTTCTGATTCAAAGAGAAGAATTTGGTGATCATTGATGTCATTCATGGACTGGTATACACCCACCACAAGTATGCAGTGCCTAGATACACTGATCCTCCGATAGCTGGTGTAGGCCATTCACAAAATATCTACCATCATAAACCACACACTCCTACATCTAAGATACAGAGTATACGTCCCACCACTTTTTCATGTGTACAGTCCTCGAAATGTTTTTTTACTGTTAAATCTATTTTATGTAGGGGGTACATTTTATGGATGACACCGGTGGCACAGTGGATAACTCCCTGTTTTATAGATCTCCGCAGATCAGAACCCTGCGGCAGAGATAATTTGGGGAAAAAAGAGAAATTATAATAAATATATTTCTTTCACATGTCACTCTGAAAGCTCCTCTAGAAAATGGGCAAGCAGCTTCAAATTCAATTTGGAACTCTCCTTTGATGGAGATACAACACAGGTTGCTGGGACTCTCCACCTTAATGGTAATGTCTTTGCAGGCTTCCACAGTGCTACGATGACAGTTGTGTTAATACTGATACTTGTTAAACTTCTTTAAACAAATTAAATACTAATTGTCCCAATAAATTTCCAATTCTTTTCTACCAAACTATGAAAAGAAATCACCAAAAAACAAATCCGAAAAATAAGAATCTGTTTTCGGTAACCTAAGTATCCTGTTGTCATAGTAATGATTTAATTGGCAAACAAATTGGATTCCATACCCCAAAAAAACTTGTATGACAGAAACATGCATTTCATAGTTAGGTAGACTTTATGTAGATTATTTGCTAATGAATAAGAGGCCCTGCCTATACAGCTAGCCATTCTATGTACGCCAAGAAGGAGGTGAAATATGCAGTCTCCAGTTGATGGGGGCAGACAGACTTTAAGCCAATATTCTACGGCTTTGTGTAATTACCATAAAAAAGTAGAAACTGTCAACAAAAAACCAATGCAAGAAATTCCAAGCTCATCATAAAAACTTTTTAAAACTTTTTCCTGTGCATTATGCATAAGAGTTAATTAATGGTGCAAAAAGATCACAATTAAGAATCGGCGTAGGTTTTCTCTCTGTTTACGTTAGAAACTTGTCTGTCGCTGACTTCAGATTGGCACTGATGTATAATGCTTAAGGGAAAGGGTACCAATACACGAGTGATAATCATGCAAAAAAAGAGAGTTCCACTACAGCATTGTTTGTACCGACTTGGAGTATTCTTTCCCTCCTATAACGAATTAGCAACAGTTACTTCCCTTGACTAAGTGTTTTTCGGACTAAGAGTTACTTCCATTGTCATGTTGTTTATCTCTCATTTTGATGCTATGCATCTATAATTCCTGGATTACAACATTTGTAAAGAGACGGACTGGCAGTTGTGACTTCTGTACTGTGCAAATACTCAAATTTTCAAACAACTAAAACTCTTCAAAATAGTGACATGTGCAATGGCAACAGTATATTTTAACCTGCGAGTATATTTTTACCTAAATACAATTAAAAATAGAAAGTTTCAAAACTGAAAATTACACATTGGATGGTTGTGAAACAGAATAAGAGAACATTTTTGTATTTGAAGCATCGATATATCACTTGTTATCTTGGCTAGGTTTACACAGCGTATGGCACTGTTCTGACCACCAACTAGGAACAAATGCATTGACCTTATAAAAATGCAACCACTTTGATAAGACTGCATTTATCATCTATCAAATTATCACATGTTCCGTTTGTAATCAAAAGAAATATGCCAACGTGTGTGTACTTTACGGGGAGTGTGCCATCGGAATAAAGCAAAAGGTTTGTAGTTCAACTCCGTCACCTTGAAAAGCTAACAATAATCACAATATTGGCAACCGTATCCGGAAACTGTGTTCCAGGGGCGAGTAATCCTCTGTAGGTTCGGGTTTGGCCATGAACCATTTTATTAGGTAAAACACTTGGGGTTATCACTAAGCCCTTAGTCTTAAATAGTCCACAATCTGAGGTCACCTTCAGTAAGTCTCCTCTCAAAGCATAATGGAATTTATAAGATACCACTGGAGTATGTAGCATCCGTTGAACTTTTAGAGTGCTATAAACAGTCTGTACTGTCCTGGAATTTTGCTTAAAAGTTTTCCTTTTCAGATTTTTACTTTAAATTCTTATTATTTTTGTATAACTACAACAAATCGAGGAAGGGTTGACTGTGGTCTACCATCCCATATATTTTGTAAGCTGCTAGTTACAGCACACAATATACCATGTATACCTTTGAAGATCCGTAACACGATCTCGAGCTGATGAAATGTTAATGGGTTGGACAAGCATTGAAATGACTTGAACTTTGACCCCTTGACATGACCTCGATTTTGGGTAAAATCCTGAAAGTGTTCTGCACACAACTCACCATATCATCTTTCATAATACCTTGATGTTATGGTCAAGACAATATTTTAAATTATTAAATTTATGTCATCTTGCCATGACCTTCACCTTTAGGGTTAGAACCTTGGACCATTATGCGACTTGCTGTCTCATAATGGTAAGAATATATTCTATACTAAACTTTAAAATGTAATCTTGAAACAATCAGAAGTTATCTTTAAGACAGATATTTCATATATGACCTTTGACCCCAAATTTTGATATTTGACCCCAGCTATGACCTTGACCTTTTGAGCGAGTACTTGATAGTGTAACTTGACCTGTTGTATATTTATGACTTACTCAACCATAAAATTTCATCACAAAACCTTGCAGCCATCAGAAGCATGATGGGCAAAATAACATGTTAAGTATACATGGACAAGCTGACTAACAAATTCATTGAACGCTAATTATGCTGTCCACCCTTTTATCAAAGTGGGTGGGACTATAGCTACGAAGGTAAATCTGTTAAAATTATATATAAAACCTGACATAGACCAATATATATGGTAGAAGTCAAAATATTTTTAGAACTTTTTTGGTGAAACTTGAGATATCAGTTGTGAGGTTTGGTGAACTTCCTTTGAGTGCAGCACTTGAAGACTCCGGTTTTATTACGTATGAGGTAATTTTATTGTTTAAACCAGTAACACACTGGTCACAATTTGTATACATTTTCCATGGAATATGAACTCTGACTTAAGTATACAGTTGTGAACATTATTGGTACACTATAGGTCCTTACGATGAGGTGTGTCCCAGTTAAGAATACTTGTCCCACATTTTTTGTACATTCCGTAATCTCTCCTTAACTTATTCACCCCTACGATACATATTTAAAATGGACATGTCCGTTCTTTGATTTGGTAAGGTTCAAATGTGACTTTACAGGGGTCAATAAGTTAAATCATTGTTAGAGAATGATCTCATCATTGTACTCTTCTGAAACATTGCAGTGATTTTCCAGGGTACTTCAGATTTGTTTTCGATTGGGGGGGGGGGGGGGGCCTTGTGGGAACATTTAAATATTTGATGTTTTGCCATATTAAAATAGATTTTATATTATGAGTGAAGTTATAACAAGGATTTATTTTTCACCAGGTATTTTTTTTTTATGCTCAATAAGTCTCCTTTTTCATAGACTAAGAATTTGAAAATCCAATTTGGGTAGAAAAATGCCCAAATTGTTACAGGAATGGGATCAGTTATGGACAGGAAACGACACTGTTTCATTAAATTGTAACTGTCTGTTCATTCATGGTAAATGTTCCTACACTGTTGGTTTCCTCTGATCGGTTCTCTGTAGATTTTAATCTCATAACAGATACCACAATGACTTAATGACCGAGCCTTTCAATTTGTCTAACTGTACGAAATGTCCTCTAAAACACCACGGATGTGTGTGTACGGAGTGCAGAAGACAGAATATAATATGCAACGTCTTTAATCAGACATGATGTTGTATACAAAACCAGCGTAACAATTTTACATCTCAGCCTGAATGTTAACTGATTTCTTAATCAGGAATATAATTACTGTTCTCTGTCGGGGAAACGGCCATGTAGAAGCACCTAATCTCTACCACATGAAACATTTATTAAGAATTCTTAAAAGATTTTCTAAAGTTTATTTTTATCAACAACATAATTTTTCACTTAAAGTTCAAGAGTTACCGAGTTAATGTGTGTTTTTGGTGGTTATTGCCCCTTTTGGGGAGTTAAATGGCTCCTTGTTCATTTGTTGAATTTAATTTTATAGGAAAGTCACATGATAATATCTGTGAAGTTGATAAAAGTTTTTATACTTACAGGTTTTTGAGAACCATTGATCCAGTGAGGGTGTCCTTGCCGATGAATCTTAATCTGTTGTAACTCAGGTCTCTGAAATGACACAACAAGGGGAGATAATCAGTATACAGGGGAGACAACAAGGAGAGATAATCAATATACAGGGGAGACAACAAGGGGAGATAATCAGTATATAGGGGAGACAACAAGGGGAGATAATCAGTATACAGGGGATACAACAAATGGAGATAATCAGTATACAAGGGAGACAACAAGGGGAGTTAATCAGTATACAGGGGAGACAACAAGGGGAGATAGTCAGTATACAGGGGAGACAACAAGGGGAGAAAATCAGTATACAGGGGAGACAACAAGGGGAGATAATCAGTATACAGGGGAGACAACAAGGGGAGATAATGAGCATACAGGTTAGACACCAAGGGGAGATAATCAGTATACAGAGGAGACAACAAGGGGAGATAATCAGTATACAGGGGAGACAATCACCATAAATAGACCTACCAAAGAAGTATTGATGATATTATTCAGTATTTTATTTGAGTAATAAAGAAAAGAATCATATTTTGAAATTAAAATTAGCTTCATTTTGATTGGTAATAGGTGACAGTATCACTTTTTTAAAAAATCATTAACAGTGCTTATTAATAGCAGATTACTTTGGTTCCACTGTATGAGTATAATTTTAGCATAACACAGCCAAATGCATGTCAATCTATACAAATTAGAGATAAGCCCCCCCCCCCCCCCCCCCCCCTATAAAGAGTTAATTTAATGTTACTTAAGTAGAAATGGTCTGTCATGTTAAATTTCATCATTTCTGTGACCTGCAAAAGGCAGTTGAAAAATAAGAAAAATTAGCAGACGTCCCTATTAAACACTCCAGTGGACATTGAACAGGCGGCTCTATCAGACAGCTAGGACAAGTTATGACACTGGGTTGTGTTATAGATTGGTATACTGTCCAGCATGTAATGTGTCAACCTCACTAGATTACTACAGATATATATTAAATTGATGGCTAAGCGGTATATTTACTGAACTAGCAGAGTCGACCATCACCAGCTACAAGTTCTAACTGTCACGACCAAAATGACTTATGACAGTTCGTTAATTACTAGACCTGATTTGATTAACTGATTAGTTATTATCAAAGACATATTTTCACATTTTTTATAGCCTTTACCACTGAGGATGGCAGATGATCAAATGGAACATTTGTTCTTTTTTTTTTATTGAACAACTTGATAGACTACACGATTTAACACACAGACGTGTTACAGTCAGTTATGAAGTATTGCCGAACAATGGTAGTATGTCTGCGATATCAACCGATTCAACATGCCTTAATCACGGTGAACGAGTACTTGGACAAGCGTAAACTTTATATCTGTATGGGTCCTGACCTACAGCCAAGCCTCAGTATATATAACTTCAACAATTTGTAAACAACAACAAATTAACAAAATCTCTGCATATTTTCATAACACAACACTATCACATGCTCTTAACCCTTTCACCCCTATGTAACTTTAGTAGACTCTACCATGCATTGATATGGATGAGTTCATTATGGTCTACAGAGGTGAAAGGGTTAGGGTAAACACATTACATACAATGTAATCTGTAGCCTCTGATATTGTGATGATTCAGAAGCGCATCATAAAAAATTGTTCATACGATCAAGTTCTGGATATTTATACCCTTGTAATTTAACCGAGAAGCTTCTGGCATGACAGAAAATTAATAAATAAACATATTTCTTAAATGACTGCAAGCAGTTCACATAATGATCCCTTGGCATCTAACAATTGTTTAATGCTATATAAAGGGTGCATTCATATTAACAGATTTTTGTCAATTTAAAACTATCAATTTGACTCCCTTTAACTGTTATAATACATTTGAAACAGACAGACCACAACACGAATTCTATTGTTTTAGGGGCTGACTGACGTGTGCGAACGTCTGATCCGGAGGTTCAAATATATCAATATCAATACATAAACAATAAGCAGAGGAAATTAAATACGGAAGAAAAAATTGTAAAACATATTGATTTTCTTTTATCAGGAATGATTCGACAGATTTCTTATCAAAAGAATCCATGATATGATATTGCTTACCAGCAAACTCAAGATTTGTGCAATGGGGAAGCAAGAATAACCTAAGATACTAGTTCAACTTCTGAATTATCAGCTAGCTAATAACACTATTTTATTAGACTTGGTGGTCAACAGAAACTAACATGGTAGTAAATTAGTGTTTGTTATGAAAGATCATCAGACGGAGAAAGGATCATGGGGAAAAAGAGTCAAGAGACCAGAAATGACATCAGCATCAGTTTTTGGACATGTACGTGATCACTGTACGATCTGACTGTCAGAAAATGTTTCTAAATTTCAAAGTTAGAAAATATTTTTCAATTTGAATGTCAATTTCATTCAGTTAGACTAACAAAGATATCTCTATTTGACTGTCAGAAAATCTCAGTCTGGTGGAATTTGGTACCTGATTCAACAACCCAATGTGGGCTCTAAATGAACCACAGACGGGGTCATTTTAGGGACATATCATAAAACTAGTCTACAAAATGTGGAACAAATGATACAATTGTTTATTGCTCCTGGTCTTATGACATAAGAAAGGTCAGTATGTATATTTAAGGTCTGTCTGCCAAGAAACTCCAGTCTGGATCCAAATTACCTCATCTGGACACTGTCCAGGAGTCAAAATTCCATCCAAAATAGATTTTTTTGTTTTGTATATATTTCCCTTAACAAATAACATTGCATGAAAAGCCTTTAACATATAATAATGATAAGCATTTCAAATAAGATAACGCTCCAGACCAGGCCTCCCACGTATACTTCTCACAATATTTTTAGAAACCCCCCTTTATTAAGGGTGTATGTGTTGTATGAATTATCTCCCTTGATGGTTCAAATTTCACCTTTTCCTATAGCCTATCCTGCACCCTACGAGATTATCTTTTGTTTAGTACAAACAAGAATGTATCTCCCAGGACGAGATTACCTCCTATTTGTTATGTAGGAAGTAGATGAAGCATAGCTACCCATTGTTTTATGATATCTAGTACAGGTTCTGTTACAAACGGACCCAGACACCTTGCTTTTTACAGACTCAAACTACAGTAGCTGTCTCGATCTCAAGTTACAGCACTCCCACCAAGTCTGGTCACTACAGCGCATTCCATTTTAACTCATCAATATTAACTCATCAATATTAACTCATCATCTGGGTTTTTAACCCTTCACCCCCCAGTAACTTTAGTAAAGTATTTAAAAAAAAACGTTTTTCCAATTCCAATGAATTTTTCTCGAATACCTAGATTGTTTAGAAAATTTCTGTTCTTCTTAATTATTACATCATGTACCTGTGTGTTTTTAGTGTTTTTTTATGAAACACACGGTTTATTTTTATTTATACAGCTCGTTACACCTGTGTCTTAATTTTTGTCTAATTACCCGTAATTCATTTTAAAATTTGGAATTTCTCCACGCGTTGTCTACCCCCTTGAAGTTGACTGCGTTAAAAACGGTCCAGTATCAACTTTTCAACTAATTACAACACGACCCTGTTATTGAAGATTTTTTGGAATCTGACACAGGTCAAGCAGAAAACACTACGACATTAGATGGAATTTAATGATAGTGTCTCCCCCAGAACAGATCTAACACTCCCTCTATGGTAACGTAGTGACCCCTGGTGTTTCGGCATTGAAACGTGTTGTACATTCCCGACACTATTCAGTGTAGGGTTTGTTTAGTCATTCATCGATCCATGCTATCTTGTATATTTTCTACTCCCCACATGCTCACCACACAATGTAAGGAACATCGGATACTTCCCGGGTTGTCGTATGGAGACCTGATACCAGTACTGAGCATTGTCAACTCCAAATATCTCAAACGACACAGTCGACGACTGATCAAACTGATCAAAACAGTTTATAATTTTACTAAATATTATTACCCCCAAACTTTGAATTTCAGTAAAAATCATAAAATCTACACTTTCTCAATTGATTTAGTGTTATAACACTAAAGAATTACACGATTCTATTATTGTGATATATGACCTAGACTTAAGTACCTGTATGACCTTGACAGAAAAGGTTGAGTTGCCACCTCACCTGAGACAGGTATGTAATACAATATCACACCTGGCAGAAAAGCTACGTAAACGGACATTAGTTTGAATAGAACATGACGAAATGCTAATAATCTGGAGGATTTATAAAACTATGGTATGCATAACTATCAATTAGCGTTACAAATTTAGGCCAATGTTTATTAATGAGGAGGAGTAATGACTTAAACAAGATTAGATTATACATGGAAAACAATGCTATTTAAATCACAGTTCACTGTAAAACCGTACCTTAACATTACTAACAGAACACACATTATCATAATATTTATTGCAAAATAAAAATTGGAAAACAAGTATATATTGTCATCCATCGTGTTAAATATAAAATATGAATAATTAATCAAATATTCATGGAGCAATATATACATATTTATGGAGTTCTGTTTTGCATAAACTTGACTTAAACATCATTTATCTAGTTTAAAGCTAATTGTATTTCTGGTTTTGCTCACAATTAAAAAAAATATATATCTACATTAAGAGTAAATACTAATTTTAATATGATTTTTTTTAATGAAATTATTAACCTTTTATATACATGTATCTTGAATGTCTGCTGACATGTAAAAACAATTAAAATGTTATTTTAACGAAAAACAATTAACCTTCAAAGTTTGCCATTGAAAAGCTGCATTTAACTCATCCACCCCTGAAGACACATTTGAACTCTTCCAATTCAAAAGATGGAATAGTTCATTATGAAACTTCAGGGGTGAATGGGTTAATATTACCTTTGATTCAGTACATCAAAAGATCAACAAACACATTAATTAAAAATTATAAAACAATTTCTAATTTCTCACTTTGTTGTGCAAAACAAAGAATATTTAGCTTTTTCTAGATAGCATGAAATATACCGAAGTCTTTGTTGTCATTCACAGACTATCCCTAAGACATGC